TTGCAAATGTTTTGAGAATATATTGAATTTGAATCAAATATTTCATCATTGGTTGTTTTGCAATAACGGTATTGATTTTCTTTTCCATTTCGTTTCTTCCGCTTCAAATGATACAAAATTTCACGGGTTTGAATGGAATAAAATTTCAGATCATGACACGAATATAGTACTGGTGAAAAAAATTTTGAATTAGAATTTGACCGAGTAATAATGAATCTTTTTCAATAATACATTTTTGGAAAAGAAACTGAAAATCGTCACGTATTAATCATTGATGATGATGAATGGAGCAGCATATCACCATAAATTGGTTGAAATTATTTTTTATCTCTGTCCATGATTAATTAGGTGTTCTAGAAAACTTTAAAAAGCGTAAAGTTTTTTGTTGTCTTGTCTTCTTTGTCATAATGGTGTTGTTAAATTTTTATTCATCTTGTTTTGCTTTGTTTTGTTTTGTTCTGTTTAGCATTTTGTACGTTACAAATTTGCATCCATTTCATTCATTGAATCATTAATTCATTTGAACTGATTTGTGACAAAAGAAATCAAATTCATCAAATGAATTTGAAATTAAACACGTGCTCGTTCTATGTGTCATTTCTATTGTTTTTTCTTTTTGTTTTCGTTTCGAATACAAAAAAATCATCCTCATCATTCAACCTTCATCAACGTCAAGTGAATGGAATGAAGAATGAGACATAAACTTAATATATAAAATATAATGATATAATGATATTGGAGAATGTAAATTTTTAAATTCAAAATGCGAGAGAAATGTTTTTGGAAGAAAAAATTGGATGAAGCGAAAGTGATATAAAAATGGCGATGATTTTTCAATTTTTTCTTTCCACAAATTCTTCTGTTGTTTTTCATTGTGTCCATCTAACTTGTGTTGTGTATAATTTGATGTGAATTTTTATCATTTTATTTCTTCCTGTAAATATTAATTGTTGTGTTGTATAAGAGATGAATTATTGGAAAGAAAACTTCAAATAAATAACGAAACCACACATTGCAATCATCATTCATCGATTCACAAATCAAATGACGAATGAATTTTCTTTCTCTCTTTTAACCCAGTTCCATTCTATATAATAAATACGTAAATATTAGGATTTTTGAAACTTCGTGGATGATTTACTTTTATGATGAAAACCCTCCTTTTTTCATTTGAACCGTTAGTGATTGAACAGAGTTTAAAATAAAATAACAAACAGAACATAAATGAAATGAAATAAAACGGTCACCAGAACCCTTTTTTTTGGTTAGTTGGTCGTTTGTCTAAGTGAACTCTTTTATTTGGATTCTCTTCCTACCATCTTTCGATTGAAGTTTCTAATTCGTTTGTCATTGCATGGTTCAGTTGTTTTTTTCTTTGTTCATCAGAAATAACTACAATTTCTATCATATGTGTGTTTACAGAAGCGATGAAAAGTTCATGAATTCTTATATTTTTTAGCCAGAAAATGTGTCTTTTTTTTTGTTGTAGTTGTTGTAGCAGTCACCCTTTTTTTTGATTTTGTTTCTTTCGTTTTTGCACCTGTTTCATTCATCAAAATCAAACGGATGAATGATTGATTGATTCATTGAAAAATGTGAATCATTTTTTTCCTCTCTTGGTTGATCGTCTAGATAGAATAATGATTGTGTTGTAATCAGAATTTTTTTACCATTAAGGAAATTTATCTCGGTCAAACAAATAAAATGTCTGTTTTTGGCCATGATAATGGTAGTCATCATTTTTTTTCATCATAAAATATAATTTTCGTTGATCCAAATTCTATGAACCAAATGAAAATTGTCAGGTAAAATTACCATCTAAATCACTAACAATCTTGTCATGATTATTATGATTACAGCCAAGTGTGTGTGTGTGTCGGTGACATTCGACAATGTCAAGGTTGAATTAATATTTGATAATCGGTCAAAAAAACTGCCTGCCTGTTGCATGTATATATTCATATTTGATGAATATCCTTAAGTGGAATTTTTTTTCCATACTGCTTTTCAATAATATCCATATAATCACTCTTACATTATGAATGGATCCTGGTTGCAGTTATCATTCAACCGATCTAGATTTGAAAATTACATGCACATGTGAAAAAAAACAAAATTTCCGATGTGCTAAAATAAAACAGATTCATTACTAAATGTTCAAGAAAAAAAAGAAATCAATTTATGAATTTAATGAAAACATTTTACATTGCAATTCAAGGATTTTGAGAGCTAAAACAATTTCTCAATTTCGAATGGAATGTACTGTAATCGATTTTTTCTTTTTGACGAATAAATCGATCTGTTTTTGATTTGTTTGTGTGTGTGTGTTCTGATCAATCATAATAACAAATAAATAAAACTATCCATCAATCTGATTGATTAACCATGATGGTGGTGGTGTATATTTTTTGGGTGCTATCATTTTTTCTTCATTTGATTGCAATGAAATTTTTTTTTAAGAATTTAGATTTGACCGCATTATTTTCTTGAATGTAAGAATCAATTTTGTAAATTTCATGGAAATTGTTTTTTTTCTAATTTTCGTGAACCAATTTTTTTTTCATACTGGCATTGGATTCCATCATCATAATCATTTGATTCATTTGCCATGATGATGGTGTGTCGGACATTTTTCAAACTAATTTCATCACCTTAGTTTTTTTTCTAGTTTTCCAATTTTCGTACATTGTAATTATCAATCATGATGAATACGAAGCTATTATGATCTTGCTAAAGAGAGAGAGAGACTAGAAAAAAATAGGAGGAAAAATCAGTAAACATTCAAATGATTGAATTGGAATAAATGAATGATTGAAAAAGAAAATGAACATTGAAATTGAATGCGAACATTTGATCGACAAACATTTTTTGGTTTGTTTGAACATTGGGCGGACAATTTTCTATTTCAATGTACAATGAGAACAATCATAATCATGTTGATGATGATGATAATGATGACCATAATGATAAATACCGGTTTTGATCGATTCTTTGTTATCAGAATCTATTATTTATCATCTTGATGATGATGAACTATGTCTATCGAAAAAACAACAACGTTTACTATAACATTTTGCCATTTCATCTGTGATATGATATGTTTTTCATGGTCATCACTATTTTAAATTCATTTCGAAAAATGCCCTTTTGCTTAGATGATGAATTCAAAGAATTAGATTCGATCATTACTTGACAATGAATAATACGATACGCAGAAAAAGAATCATTATAGAATGAGTATAAATGATGATGATTATAACATTTTATCTCTAATTTTCAAATCAACTTGCATATTGAGATGATTAACCATGGCGATCTTGTTGTTAGGCCAAAAAATCAAATGAAATGTTGGCAATCATCATCACTGGTGGTTGTTGTAAACAAAGTGCTTTTCGAAAGCAAATCTTTAATTAATAAAAATTGATAGGGTTAGTGCTTGATTATAATGAATCCAAATAAGCAGCAAAACAAATGTTTCTCGGCCAAAAAGTGAGTTTCCATTTATGAGCTAATTTTAATTTTCTAAACATCATCGTTATCATTTACAGTAATTTCATTGTAGACATCATTAGTGTTTGTGTGTGTGTGAATGAGTGTTTTTTTCCTGTAGTTGATTTTGAAAGACAAGAAAAAACATGACCGTTCAATCATTTTTTTCTCTTTGGTAAATTTTTTTTGCGTGACAATGACAAGAGAGAGAGAGAGAGAGAGAGAGACGGAGAGAAAGAGACTTGGTTATTTCGAGTGGTTGACCGCGAGGTTATTGTTGTGACACGAACGAACAAGTGTTTGTATAACAAACATCCTACCTAATCATCATGCCATATAAAAATATAAAAGATGAGCTAATGTTGAAATTTTGTTTTCATTTCATTCAAAATTCTTGTTTGGTCAATTTTTTACGCTTACCGAACACGAACAAAAAATCACAAGCTCAAATTTTCTTTGAAAAGATGTTTTATTCATTCATTCATCGAAATAAGACAAACAGCTTGATCGGGTTGAATTGAAAAAATTAAATCTCCAGTTTTTTCTGTGAGTCAGTTAAATTACTAGTATTTTTTTTTTAACTTGGGCAATTTTCCAGAAATTCGTGTGATTTTTTTTCTTCTTCGTGGTTCTGAGTATTGAACACAAAAGGAACTGAACACCGATCAATGATATGATATATTTGTTGTTTTCAACATTGGTCTGACCGAGAAAAAAATGATGGAAAAAAGTTCAAGGTCACCAGAATGTCAATTTGATCAACCAGTCTTCAGTCCTGGATGATAATTTTTTCATTCACCATAAATCACAAATTCCGGTATGGAAACTAGATGACAAGATGATGATGATGATGATGATGGTCAGCTACCACAATCTAATCATCATGTTTAACAGTGAATATGGTTTCAATGCAATTTTGTTGTCATCATGTCTGGATTTTAGAAATTTGTCTATTTTTCATGGCCATTGGATTTATATGTTGTGTACAATTATTACTACTATTGCATGTGATGATATCTTTGGTTGTGGTTGAGGGGTAAGAAAGAATAGAAACAAACTGGCAGGTTTATCATCATCATCATCATTGTTTCATTTTTGATTTCATTTCTCATTCTATTTTTCATTTTATACAAATGTTTCGTTTTTTTCCTTGCATTCAAATAGCATCCGTAAATCGTGGACAATCATATTATATATCATTATCTTTCTCAAATATCCAGAGGATAATTTGATTTGTCATTCAATTCTTTTTACTTAACGTTTTTGGAAAACAACAACAACAACAATCATCATCATCATCATTATTATTTGTTGATTACGTATCTATGTGCATATGATTCATTTTATCATCAAACTAACTAAATAAAATATATATTCGTGATGATGGCCATGATTGAAAAAGAAGAAAAACATACGACGACGACGACAACAACGATGTCTGCCATTATTATTTCTGGAAAATTGAATAAAAATCAGAAAATGAATCTTGATCATTATCAACAAATTCGACGAATGCGATCATCATCATCAGCATTACTATTATTCTTTGATGGACATCATCATCCATTGATCACATTACTATTCACAATCATTGTTCTGTTTTCGTTACCATTATCGTCCATGGTTAAAGGTTTGTATTATAGTGTTATATTGGTGTTGATTTTCCGTTAACTTTTCTTTCTTTTTTGTGCATAAAGCTCAATGTCCGATTGGTACGACAATGTCATTTGAAAAAATTGCATCTGTAACGATTCGTGGTGTACCATTTGTGCCGTTATATAATGGACAACCGGACATTCCGGTTACAGCTGAATGTAATAATCGTTGTCGTGCTGGAGCAAAATGTCGTTCATTTTTGTTGAGCTATGATAAACATCAATGTTTTGGATTTGATTATGATTCACTTAATCGTGGCATTTCAGTCGTATCAACCAATGAAAAGACAAGTTATTTCGAAAAAATCTGTCTATCAACAGCTCCATGTGAAAAAGCCTGGACATTTGAACGTGTTATGGGTAAAGAACTGAATGGTTTCGATAATAGAATCTTGTCTGGTGTTGCAAGTCGTTTGCGATGTCAAGAGCTATGTCTTAAAGAACGTTCATTTGTTTGCCGTTCTGGTGAATATGATTATGCATTGCAACAATGTCGTCTATCATCCGAAGATCGTCGATCACAGCCAAGTTCATTTCAAACGGCCATCAGTAGTTCAGTCGATTATTTTGAGAATCAATGTGCTGCCAATCAACAACAACAACAACAACAACTGCCTGGACAAACACAACAACAGACAGGAATGACAGTCAGTAGTTTGCCAATGTCTGTTGGTTGTGATTTTGAACGTTATGAAAATTTGGACATAAAACGTGCCGATCTAATTCGTACGGCTTTCTCGACCGAACAATGCCGTAATTTATGTGAAGCAACTCGTGCTTTTGTTTGCCGTTCATTTACATATGCAGCAGCAACATCACAATGTTGGCTTAATTCAGATGATATTCTAGCCGTTTCAACTGGTCTGAATGGATTAGAATCTCATGCCGGTGCTACCTATCATCAGCGTGGACATTGTCTAGATCGTGAGAAACAATTTTTTTTTTTTTTTTTTTATCATCACAATTGTTATTCTGATTCGAGACTAATTTGTTCCAATTTTCTCTCTTTTGTATACATTCAGTTCAATTATTTTGTGGCCACGATTCGATGACTGTTGCATTGAATACATTGAATCCATTCAATGGGCGATTGTATGCAAAAGAAGATCCAATCAATTGTGAATCGATTGGAAGATCTGAAACAAGCACAATGTTAATGTTACCATTCAATTCCCGGTCCGGTTGTGGTGTTCGTGAAGAGGTGGGTATTGTGTGTGTCTGTCTGTGTGATTTGATGAAAAAATCAAAAGACAAATTTAATTGATTGATTGATTGATTCATGTATAAATAGGATGGAAAATATACATCTATGGTTGTAATTCAACATCATCCATTAATCCAAAGAAAAGGCGATCGAATGGTTCATGTTGCTTGTCATTTTGAGGCCACCAATAGAACGATCAGTAACACCTATAGTGTGTTGGTTGAGTATGTTGTGTTAAGGAGAGATTATTCAGAGATTTGATTTGAAAAAAATGGATTTCATTGTTATATGTCTTGTTTTTCTTCATTTCTAAATTTAAAGGATGCCGCCTGTTGCCGAAACTTCTATTGTAAATGCAACTGCACCATCACCAAATATTCGATTACGAATTACCGATAAGAATGGCAAAGATATTACTGGAGCTCGTTTGGGCGATGAACTTTTCTTCGAATCGAAATGGATGATGATGAAGTTTTTGGTATTTTTGCACGTGAATTAATGGCCAAAAGTGGATCAAATCAAAACGAATCCATTATGCTGATTGATTCGGATGGCTGTCCAACTGATCCAAATATTTTTCCAGTATTGGAAAGGATTCCCAATTCGAAAGGACTGATTGTAAGTTCTCATAAAAAGATTCATAGTAATAATAAAGATTTATAATTTATAATTGTTTTATTATTCTTTAAAGGGCAAATTTGATGCATTCAAATTTGCAGATGATGTTGTGGTCAGATTTCAAGTCAATGTTCAATTCTGTCTACAAGAATGTCTACCCGTGAATTGTGACCATAGTCGTCATGTTGATTCGGAATTATTGAAAAATGTACAAAGCTGGGGACGGCGTCGTCGTCGTCGAAGTATTACTGCCGATGACAAAAAATATTTGTCCAACAAAACCGAACTACATAGAGAAATCATAGTTGAAAGCGTTAGCCGTATGAATGGCAATAAAAGTGGTAATCATGAACGGCTACAGGATGAGAAACATGAAAAACAATCACAAATGTATTGTGCTACAAAAACCACATTGATCATCAGCATAATAACACTGTTCATGTTACAGGTTTGACCGAGATTTTTTTTTTGTTTTGTTTTGTTTTGGAATTCAATTTGACAAATCTCATTTTTGCTTTCTCTTGCCATCATTATTTTGTTTCCCGACACAAAAAAATAGATAACTATTGTAGGCTCGATATTAGCATGCTGTTTGATTTATCGTCGAATACCCTCATCGTCGAAATTATCGAGAATTAGTGAATCATCAAACAATGCCAATCATCATCATTATGGCCATCATAATCGTCGATTAGGTTTGGCCCAGATATTTAATGGGATTAATGTTGCCGATATGTTGCCGGGCGGTAATCGTAAACAACAATATAAAACTGAACCATTCGAAAATGATGATTGTAATAGTATGAGTAGCAGATCGTCATCATCATCATCATCGAATCGAACTACTAATAAATCTACAACATTGGCCAGTAAAAGTCATCGCCATCATCCAACTAATAATCATCATCAACAACAACAACCGAATCCATTACATTTAAATCTATCAAATCAAATGAATAAGCAACAGAAATTGCTTTGGGCACAAATCAATCGAATTGACTAAAATCGACTGAAACAATAGAATGAAGAAAACAATAGAAACTGATAGAAAATGCACATATTTCAATATTCGTCGGGTAAAAGGAACAAAACAAACAAACAAACAAACAAAAAATTCAACTTTTGAATTTTACAATTTTTTTGCGGTCTTTTCTCTTAATATTTATTCCCATTATTTTATAGCATCATTATTTCACATCACACGCACACAACCTACTAATTCACCTTACATATGTTGGTATTTTTGATTGAAAAATCTGTTTTATTTGAATTTTATTTTTTGTCGTCCAATAATTGTCAATTTTTTTTGTCAAATTCCAATATATCATCAATGGTATAAGAATTGTATATGTACAACAGAGCAACACTGTGTGTGTCCTGCTTTTTTGTCGATTTATCATTTTTTGTAACGAGAAATTATTTATATTTTACTGAAATTGAATTTGATAAAATTGATTCAATTGATCATTTTTAATCAATTCCATTTTGTCCATTTTTTTCTGTCCTTGACCATTGTTACCATTATGATGATTGTATGTGGTGTGCTGGATTGATTTATTATCAAATTCAGATCCTTGTGACATTGATATCGGGTGAATGTTTTGTTTTTTCATATCTGAGTTGTTTGATTTGTGCGATATATGTTCATTTGATGCAATACTGGGCGGTATAGAAATTGAATTCATTGCATGTAATGTTGGTTTATATTGTCGTTTACCCAACATTCGTCGATAATAGTGAAGATAAGTACTAGATATGAGCAATACGAAAAATGGTATGAATAACATGACAGCCATTAACAATTGAGTGATATATCTTTGATGGGTATAACGTTGCCAAAGAAATCGATAAGTTGATGTGATTCGATTAGTATAATTGGAATTGTTTGGCCGGATAATCCACCAAACATACACTCCCTTCGGAACGATGGTTGGATAATTCGATAATCGATAATCAGGTGGTCCTTTCTTCTCTTCTTGTTCGTCATCACGTGTTGAATAAACATTTACACATTTACCGCTTTGAGCACGTCGATCTTCGACAAAACCGAATTGGCAATCACATATTGAAGAACGTGTAGCAAAACCACGTGGTGAATATATCGGCCTACAATAACTATTAGGATCGAGTGATGAACATTGTTGATCATATTGACAGGATTCGTTGAGATTTCGTTTTTTAGCACACACAAGTTCATCATAATGATGATCAATGACTAAAACGTATGTATTCAATCGTACATCAGTTCCTGATTGTCGTTCTACTTGAATCTGGATACTTTCATTTGGACATTCACAATATCCATTGTTGGACATGGATGATTGATCTTTAGATGAATTTGGATTACATACCATATTCTCACCACAATCACTAGTTCGATTACAAGTTTGATGGATACGGTTTCCTGTGATGATGAAAGATGAAAAAAATCCAGAGTATATTTTGATTGAAAATGAATATCAAGAACACAAACCTTTGAAAACTTTAACAAATGCATCGGCTTGTCCAGATACATAATGATAACGATTATCACGTCCAAGTTCATCATTGTTGATTCGAATAAAATCGGCAACATTACAGCTAATTTTCATTTCTTTCATTCCTGAACGTTCCATTTCTTGGACAAAATTACCAACATTAATATCAAGATTGAATTTACAAAATTTTCTTTCTGCGTCACATGAACTATTCGTTAAAAGCAAATGATTCAATTCAGTTTTCCAATCAAACATCGGTCTTTCAAAATGATAACCATTATCATCATTGGACAAATCGACAATTGGATCAAAATCACCCGTTGTACAGATTCTAGCTTGACATTCATAATTTACTAGATTTTTTCTTGTTGATGAATATCCAGGTGTGAGTGAAACACAAACTTTTAAATCTTTAAGTTGTTCACTTCCGGTAACTTTTGTCGTTGTTGTTTCACTTTCATCATCATTATTGGAAACATCTAAATTTGGTTCGAAAAATCCATCCAATACTATCTTATTCAACAAAGGTTTGGATTCATTCACATCGAATATCGTTTTCAATGGTGAGATATTTGCATGATGAAGCGATGAAACTTGAATGTCGATCATCGAACAATAAACCAAGGCAAACAAAGCAGTTGATAAATAGAAATTCATTTTTATACAACGTTCGGTAACTGTCAGTCAAGAATAGTTTGATGCTTTGACCAATCGAACAGGAAAGAAATCGATTGAACTGGAATCGAACACACACTGATAAAGGAAGAAAAAAATTATTAAAATCTTAGTTGTCGTGGTAACGCAAATATATTTGTGAAAGAAATTTCTGTGATTTGCAACAAACCGACTAACCAACACACAAACACATTCACAGGTATACACCGGACAAAAGAATGAAACCTGAAAATGGAAAAAAAGCAATTCATCGATATGATGGCTATATTCTAATTTCTCATTATTCTGGAAATAATGATAACCTTTGCACGCATGTGTCTCTTGGATATTTTGTTTTCCAATTATAATTTATCCAGAAAAAATACCTTTCGAATATATGCTAATAATGTCCTACTAATTAGCAATATGTTGTACAATGGCGATGATGATGATGATGATGATGCGTTTGTCGAAAATACGATCGATCGATGTGTATGGAAAACATTCATGAATGATGACAATCACTTGATCAATTCCATTCTCTCTCTCTCTCTCTCTATTTGTAATTGGAATAAAATTATTTTGATCATTTATTCATAAACATTTTCCATGTTTAGTATTGTTTATAATATCATAAAAAACTCACCAAATAAATCGAAAACGGTTTTGTTGTTCCTGTTTTTCGAGAACTTTATCGTGTTGATGAATGTGATATGAAGATTGGACTAGATACAAAAATTCATTTGTTTAAATAAATTATTGTCATCATGATGATTTAAATTTCTCGTTGGTTGGTTTGCATAAAACAATCATGGTGATGACATGACAAATTACTTGAAAAAGCAACTTTTAACCCATGTTTTGGGGCAGATTCAAAAGATGGCGCAAGTTTCTTCAAGTGAAACAACTTTTCAAATGAAAATTGTTTTCCATTAGAATTTTAAATCGAAATTAAATTCCAATCTTATAATCATCGATTTTCTTCAGCGGTGAAAATTTCCTTTTCCTTTACTACAAATTATCCCTCGACATCTTTTCTCTTTCACAACGGCGTAAATGATTGAAAAATGGTGATATTATTGATGGAACGCTTAAATAGCTTAAAAAGCAAAGAAATTGAATTATTCGCTTTGATAATTTTCTAAATGTATATGTTGAGGAGATGTTTTAAGGCATGATGAACACGATGTGATTCCGGGTCAAATAAAAATAGGAGAAAATTACAAAATAAAGGCCAAAGACATGATCATCATCATCGTCGCCACCATCATTGTCAATGATTGAATTTACATAATTTAATAATAAAATTATTCATAGTTTAATGTTCGACGAAACATTTTTATTATCATTTTGAAATTTCTTTGCTTCTTTTATAATTCTTTGAAGAGAGATAGACTTTTTGTATCATTCGAATTTCCAATATCGCAACATAGTATCGATAGTCGAATTCCGATTTCGTGTCTCATTCCATTTGGTGGATTGTATTTGATGATCATTGCTTTTTTCGAGCAAACATTGTATCTGTTGTAAAATGGCAATGAGCACGTGATTCAAATTTTATTGTGCAAACCAGGGTGATATTGTAAAGCTTTATTCGAGAAAAAGAAAGAAAAAGGCAATCATAAATTATCATAAAATTTTCAATATAAAAAATGTTGACATTTACATTCTGGTTGGCTAGAGGGTCAGGCCATTTCTTATTTGATTTTCAAATCCAATTCAATTCATACAATCGGAATAGATTAATCTTGATTGTGGTGAAGAGAAGGGAGAATTTTTTCTAAATAATTAATCGAAAATAGACGTGTGTGTGTGTAATAATAATCGAAATAAATTCAAATAAAAGCCAAACAAGTATAGGAATTGTAGAGAAAAAATTACACCTGGCCAGAACAAAAAAATCATTGAATAATCGGACGCCAACCTTGAATGGGCGATAAATTATCACACGTGCACAAGTAGAAGAACTGTTTCTGAACAAACGAGATTAATTATGTAAAGCATCATTTCGTTGTTTTAAAAATGTAATAATGCCACTTAACACTTACAAAGTTACAAAAAAAAACATCTGCCATTTTTACACAACATAACGAATCACAAGAACTCAACTGAATCATCCAGTCATCACCTCATCTCTGAATGACCCCGAGCAAAATATATTCATTCTCACCAAAAAAAATCCATTGTCAAAACCCTAGTCATTTTAGCGCCGTTTTTTTAAACAGAGGATTTATACTGATCCAATTTTTACAATTCTTAATGCTTCTATCGATTGGGAAATTTGGAATTCCTTTTTATATAGCGAACAATGATGATGATGAGAATATATGCGTATACGCATTTTCCATTGATCAACAAGCCCGCCAAATCGTATACGGCTATAGTCATGTTTTGTTTATTGTTACTTCGCAAAAATATAATGAACTAAATTGTGATGCAAAAATGGAATTTGTATTTTATGTATTTAATTTATGTATTTTTTTCAGAAATTTTATGGTACAAATATATAAAATATCAAATCATCATTCTATTTCATTCTTGATTTGGCCATTGGAACGACGACGAATTCAGAATCAAGAAAATGACAAATTTCATTGTGACAAATTCCCAAACTAACACGACCAGTTCAGAATTCAAAATTCAAAATCGAAAAAATGGCAAATGTCCAAACTAACACGACCAGTTTGACAAATGTAATAAACGAACAAGATGAAGTTGGGACCATAATATCACTGTGGACAGCGATGAGCAAATCGAAACCACTACAATCATTGTGTCAGCTTTGTGTCATAAAACCAAACATTTTCAGAATTGATATATTTGTTTTCACTGGGTACCATCTCATTCTCATTCATTTCATTATATCCTTTGAAAAATATCATGATTTATAATATAAGATGGATAATGAGTGATGGCAAAGTTACTAAAAAAATTTTTTTCATGTGTGTGTGATCTACATTTTGTGTTCAAACATGGAAAATTCATTGTTTATGCTATCGTTATAATATTTGATGACTGGTTGCTTTAATTGAAAATTGTATTACATGAAGAGAATTGATGTATTTCCTGTTATTGAAGCTCGACTTTGAATGGAATAACAGTCCAACAATCAATTAATTTCCATTTTTCAAACAGTTTTGGCTCAAAATTCATCAACTAAACATTGAATTTTTCGGCTATAGTCATGTTTTGTTTATTGTTACTTCCTATCATTCTATTTCATTCTTGATTTGGCCATTGGAACGACGACGAATTTGTTCATTGTGTTTGTGTGTGTGTGTGTGTGTGTGCCTAAACATGATCATATTTGATGACTGGTTGCATTTATTCTCCTGTTATTGAATCGGAATTTCCATTTTTTTCAAGCTAAACAGAATTTTTTTACCCGAAGGGTAACGACCAAAAAAAGAGTGAGTGAAATCATCTATGCAAAAAAAACAGAAAATCTTGTTCGATCAAAAATTCAATTAAATAATATTCGATCAAGAATCAATTTTTTTTCCATTCCACCCTGGTGGTTCTCCGAAACCCAAACATATCAAATTAATAATAATCATCAAAAGTTATCGGTAAGTTGCTTGTTTGTGTTTATAAAAAAAACTAATTTTCGTTGAATTTTTTTTTTCTCATACAAAAATATCGTTTTACAGCTTAATTCAAATCACATGTGGAACTTTGAATAAACTAAAATATTTATGTGATGGAATAAGATTTGGTCCCTTTCTCTCCATGTTTTTTTGTTGTTGTTGTTCCATTTCAATATTGTTTAAAGCAAAAAGTTTTTTTTTTTTCGTCATACTGTCATATAACAACAAACAAGTGAATGTGTGTGTGTGTGTGTTTGTGTTTGTGATGTTATGTAATCAATTCAAATATATTCGGCATCGTGGACAATTTTTGAATCGTTACGACAACTATAATAGTTGTGTTGGCAATTCCAATTGCATGGAATAGGATTCCATTATAGTTGTGTGTGCCTATTGATGATGTTTATGGGAATGATTGAAAATTCAATTTTCCAGCATAGATGTTATATACTATTTTATTTTTCTTGCTGGTATTCAATGATTAATATGATGATGATCATAAAGATAAAGAAGTTACTACGGTGGTAAAATAAATATAAATAAACGGCATTATTGTTGTTCAATCAAGTTTTCATTTCTCGTTCAACCGTCATTCAATTTGTCTATTTTGCAAACATCATTGTTCTTTGTTCATGTGTGTGTGTGTGAAATTGTGATTTCAAAAGATTTGTTCCATCAAAACAACAAAAATTCATTATTATCCATCATGTCGCAATTTAAAAAATCGAGCATTTATAATGATCATGAGAATGGAGGCCGATTCCATCATCATCATCATCATCGATATGATGATCATTATGGAAAAAATCAATATATCCATAATGAGAATATCGATAAAACAGATATACATTTGAAATGTTATTCTTTTAGTTGTTGTCCATTTTATCGCCACCACCATCATCATCATGATCATGATTATTGTTCCAGAATGTTCAAAAGGACTGTGATAAATCTGTCATTTATTTCATTATCGTTATCATTTCTATTCTTATTTGCCAATATCGATAATTCATTGGCAACAAATATGATTTGCCATGATGATAATGGTGAGCATTCAACTATTGGTTCATCATCATCATCATCAAGTGTATCGATTTTTTCCAATAATAACAACAAAAGCCAAAACCATAATAATCGAACAACCATTGTTTCAAATAGTCGTACGATTTTTTTGATCAATGATAATGACGATAAAATTGTTACCGCTGCAAATACGAATACAAATAACAATAAAAAACGTGATGTTCATGGTTTGAATGATGGAAAAATTTCACAAAAATTTCATCGTGATTATTCATCATCGACAACATTATCAACATCATCGAATACCTTGAATATAAATTTTCCGAACAATAATGTTGATAGTAAAAATGTTTCATCCATTCAAACGGCCAATAATGAACAACCATTTGGTGAGTTTTCTAGATTTTTGAATTTTTGTTTTATTTGCTTTTGATTATTTGGAAAACTTTTGTTCATTTTCAATTTCTCATTTTAGTCGATGATTAAACATTGTCTCATTCTTCTAGCTATTGTCAGGTTTATCATAGTTAATAGCCGAGAACATAATTCTTTACCCAGAATTGCACATAGTTGTTCGATTCCGGAAAATTAAGTAGAATCTTGAGAACAGAATGTGTTTGTGAGAAAAAAAAGAAAAAGAAAAACAGAAAAATCCAAATTCTTGACAATAAAAACCGATTAAGTCGTGTTTATTTTTACAGCTTTTTATTAGTTTTATTTTTGCCGACAAGTAACAAGGCATTTTTTCGTTTTTTGTTTTTGTTGTTGTCATTCGCACTCCACTTCCGGGCGTTTCAAGAATTCAATATTGTTAAGGGCTGCCGTTATATTTATAATGATGATGATGATTATATTTTTCATGATCATTATCTAAATTTTTGTTTGTCATTTCTCTCAACTATCTAATGATTATTATGATTTGATGTCCACCAGTGTGGATGTGAAATTATTTTTCCATGTTTTCCAGTGTCCGATTAAATTGTTCATTCTGGTGATATCATTTTTGTTGACAAGTAAAGAATTCCATTTTTTTTCTCACACAAATTCCATGTGTCCAACGAAAGATCTTGAATTGCATTTTTTTCGTAACTTTTTCTAATAGTGGAATTATCGTTTTTTTCAAAGGAAAACAATTATCAAGCGAAAAAAGCCAAAAACATGCATCTCAATCAGATGATAAAAAATTTCTTGTGATGATTACGTTGATCTTGATCTTAACGTTTTGTTTTCATTTTTATTTTATTTTATTTTATTTTTTGCTTCCAAGAAAATCGCATTAGACCAAAACTGTGCTGTTGTTTTGAAACAATTGAGAAAACAGTGTAGATATGAATATAGAAATGAAAATTTACGTGCTTAGAATCTACATTTTGTTTTATTCAATTTTTTTTTTGATGCTTTTTTTGGGTTCAACATTTTCTGTTTTGTTTGTTTTGTATTGTCTTGCCTTTCATTCTGTAATAATAAAATAAAAAGAGGAAAAACAGCCAATTCATCCATTTTGTATGTCAAATTATGTGTGTGTGTGTGTTTGTGTGTTTGTTGGTTTGACAATCTGAAAGTTTTTCTTTGAAACACTTTTTTTCCAAACGGATAAAATGGTTTGTTTTGTAAAGACAATTATCTCATCTCTATATATACGACATGTATATGTTCGATACAATTATGTTAATGGTCTTTATTGGTTATTGTATTGCATTGTAGATACACAGGTTTTTTTTCTTTCCATCCGGTCAATAAACATAGATTCTTGTCACTTTTTTTTCTCTTTTTTCAGTACACAATATATATTGCTGTTTATTAATCGTAGTACGTATGAATCGAAGAAAGAATTTCCGCCAATCAATAACAACAAATTAGCAATTTATTTTTTCTCCTAACTTTCATGATCATGTTGTCGAGGCGACATTAATGGTCAATTCATTGGGTTTTTTTTCTATCTCATATATGTATTAATCTTGTCCATTCAGGTTGCTAAATTGTCAAGTTTTTTGGTGTTGTCTGTCTCCAAAATATGAAAGAAAGTGAAAATGTAAACTTTAGCCAATAATTCTTTGGTCGTTTTTTTTCACATTCCATCAAGGGTGTTGCCCTCGCCATCAATCGATTAATCGTTTTGGTCATATTTCGTTTCAATCAACCATTGATTCACAGATTCCAGTTCGATTGTTTTTTCTTGATTGAAATTTATCTTTGATGAACTGACTGTATATTTGTGTGTGTGTATGTGCGTTGATAATTGAATTTTCATTCAAAACTTTTGTTCATAGCATCATCATTGTCATCTTTTTTTCTTGGAAAATATTAAGATGAGTTTTTTTCATTTTAGATTCTTTTCTATATATATAGATAATTGATGATGAGCAATGAATCGATCGAAATCAATTGCAAATTCGATCTATTGATTGAATATCGATTTGTTGTATTAAATCAGATCAAGTTGTTATCAAATATATTTGATGATGAATGATTCCTTCTCTTTTGTTTCATTTTCTTTGATTATCATTATGACAACAGCAGCAAGGATGATTTTTGTTCACAATGATAAGAATTTGATGGCCAGAATCGTGTTTTACTCTTTTTTTGGTTTATGTTTACTTTTGCGCATGAAAATTCACACAAGCTTCTGATTACAACTTGATCAGTTGAAGAAGAAAAGAAAAATCAATACCTTCGATTACATTTTTTGTTCCAATTCCCCAATGATAATGATGATGATTATGGAAATGATGCCGTGATTCACCGCGAACAATTGAATAGCCCCGAATCACCCGTTGGTGTGTCATGTCTCTTTCTGATAGTGAATGTTTGTTGTTCTCACTGAAAACTAATGATGACATTTGTTTTTTTTTATTTTTTTGCTAGTGTTGGAGGTTTTTTTCCAGTGAAAATATCAAAAATCATGACCATTTTTTTTTTTTTCACCCATGGAGCGAAAATTATTAAGACACGTTCTCATGAATTATCCGAGAGAATATAAAATGTGAGAGCGAAACAAAAAATTCTTGTTACCAAACATGATTATGTGATCATCACTGGTGGAGAAGAGCAAAAAAGCAAGCAAGCAATATAAAATATGATTTTCAATCTTATCCCGTTTTTTGCCTTTGTTGTTGTTCATATTGCTGACCACAACAATTTTTTTTTCTTCCTTTCTTTTATATGATGCTTTTGTTTTGTTTTGTTTTTTTTGTTCTATATGTGATGATCAACATTTCAGTTTGTTTGTTTGTTTCAACATTTTTATATTCTGGAATTTATCGTTCACAACAACAACAAAAATGACAATTTGATGAGTGATGATGTGTCTGGAAATCATCATCATCATCATCGACGTCAATTCTGTTAAGAATGGCTTGTTTTGAAACACTAATGTAATGAATTTTACTTTTATATTTCCACGATGCATAATTTCATCATTCTCAATTCTCTTAGTCAATATCAAAATATTTTCCCAAATGATATTGGTGATATGTTTTTTCTCATTTGATTTCCATTTTCATAATTCCATGCGATTTTCATTATTCTCATCATTGAAATTGATGTTTGTTTGCTGACAAATAATAATAATGTAATGTAATCACATTCATTACCATGCGCAAATTATTTTTCAATTGATCAAGCTGAGTATGATTTTTTACCAAACGTCATCAACATCATTTATGCGATGAATGACTTTGACTTTTGATTTGAAAATTTCAATTTTAAAGTTATCACCATTATTATTCAGTAACAAACCCCATGGTTTCATCATCAAATTCTTGTTCATTTTTCTTTTTTCGTTGTAGAGAAAGAATTGGTCTGAATGATTTTGTATGACAATTTTCCCTTTCTTGCTCTTGCCATTGTCTACATAGCTTTTTTGTTTGGTTTGTGCAAAGTATGATGTGGGTTGAAAAATTAGAAATCGATTTCTTTTCTTGCCGTCATGTATCGTGTATTTTGTCATCACATCTCACAAATACAAATTCAATTGTGAATTTGAATGAAAATAAATAAATGGAAAAAATAAAAAGAATAGAAATCCTCATTCATGCAAGTAATTTTCTCTCGATAATGCAAACAAGAAATTTCTTCCAGTCATATTCTCCTCCTTTCTCGTTTCCAATGAATTTGATCCGAATTTTATTCAAATTTCAAATTTTTTTTCCCACTTTCAATTTTCTTGATTCTTAACGAATTTCAATGAAATGCACTGAATCCAAAGATTCGAAAAAGCAAACCTATTGGTTGATATTGCCATGTTGTTTGCATTATTTTCAACTGCAACAGCATTAATTAACCACTTGGCTGACTGGTTTTCTTTTTTTAAAAAAAAACCGTTCATTCAAGTAGTCAAATGTTATTTTATATGACAAATTTTGTTTGCATTCACACAAACACACGCACAAAAAACAAAAGGACAAAATGACAAAATCTATCCGTCTTATTCATTCATTCATTCATTTTTTGTTGGTTAAGACCGGTTTTTTGTTTCTCTCTCATAGTTTATGATTCCATTTCTCCATCATCATCATTTAAGCCAATTCAATGGATATATCTTTTTTTGACTTCTGGTTCATGTGCCGGTCATGTTTACCATGTGAAAGCGGGATATATAAAAAAAAGAAGAAAAAATTTGTTCAAACACACACAAACATGCATGCACACATACAATATCCTTAATGGTCGAATGATTTTCTTTTTTTCTTCTAGAAATAAAATCCTATCTAGAGTTGTACTTGAAATTCATCCCACTTTTTTTTATATATATCCGGACTTGTCTTTATTCATTTATTCATTCATTCATTCATTCGTTGAAATTATTTTATTTTCATCCAAATAAATAAAAAAAAGTTAAAGTGAAATAAAAAAAAAGTTTGTTGATCACAGGCGTATGTTTTTTTTATATGATGAATTTTTTGGATAAATTCTACTCATACACACACACAAAGTAATGGGAAAAAATCAATTCATGTGTATGTCATCCATACCGGAATTTGGACAAAATTTGTTTTTTGTTTACTGTCGACAAAGCAACGTTTCTTTTTTTTCATTTTTCATCACCACCACATGACAGAAAAATCTCATTGAAATTCGTACGTTTTCATATTTTTTTTCGAAATTCTGTTCTGTTTGTTTTTTTTCATCATTTCATTTCATCAAAATTTATCTGCCAGCTGCGAATAACAAATTACGTTCAATTAAATGCATTACAATCATATAAATACGCCATTTTCTATCCCTTTATCATGATGATAATGATGATTGAAAAATAAAATGAAAGAGGTGCACTTGAATAAATTCATACATTCTTTGTCGTGTCTTTTTTGGGTTAATTCGATAATTGAATTTTTCGTTTGTTTTTATTTTTGATCAAAAATAGAGAAAATCCATCCATTCACATGAATGACGCCCAGTGTTGAATATCTCTGTTTTCTGGGATATAAAAAAGTGAATGACGACTTTTTTCCTTCGATTATTTTCGGGTACCACACCAAAAAAAAAACGAAGTGAAAAAATCGAATGTTGTGTATACAGATTCGATTATTATTATTATTACTGCTGCTGCTGCTTATATATTGATTGTAAAGGCACCAATATTCGATTGATGATCCAAATGATATTTTTTTTTCACCGATTTTTTGACTTTTTTTTTTTTTTGTTCCAGTGTTTGTTTGTGTGTGTGTGCATGAATGCATAAATGTTGCTTCCATTGTCATTGTCACTGTTGATAATAAATCTCAGTTTTTTTTCCATATCAGGTTCAGGTTTACAGGATCCATATATGTGGATTTCTGGTTAGAACCAGAAAAAAATAACAATAAAAAAACCAACAACAAGAGTAAAGTTTATCATATTTTTTTCATTTATATTGACATTTGGTTTTTTTGCACCATATATTTTGGTTTCAAAAAAATTAGCATACGTGAAATGAGGATTTCCGTTTGTCAATTAAGATATATGACATTTACGGAAGAATTGTGATTTTTTCTAATGTTTTGTTTAGAATAACGAATCTGTATGTAGATTATTATCATCGTTATTTAGGTTCATATCCATGTTTGGTGGTGTGTGTGTGTGTGTGTGTGTGTATTCCAGGAATCCGTAATTAGGATTTCTACAAAACTGGCAAAAAATGACAGACTTTTATAATAATAACAATGTTGAAAGTGAAGATACATGAAAACCGCAAAGTAAACCGAAAAATTACAAATATTATTATTTCATCTAATCACATGTGTGGGTGTTTTGTTTTTTTTTTTTTGAGCTTGCTGCTATTATTGATCCAATTTAAACGAAAACAATTAGATATCTGAGAAGCAATGAGATTATTTCGTCACTCAAACGAAAATGAAATTTACATTTTTAATCAATACAATTTTATTTGTTTTTTCTAATTTTACACATAAAAAAGTGTTAAAAGAAATAATCCGAAGAAATAATGATCAAGGTTGATTAATATCTTGTAATGAATCACATTCATTGCCATCATTACGTAGACAATTACCATATGCGATGCTAAAATTTCGAATATCAACCATGCCAGTTTCTTGATAGTTAACGACATTTGATGGTAAATCATATTCAAAATCTAAAACAAAACGTGCATCACCATATCGAAGATCCAATTGGATTTGAGCATCGATCCATCTTGTAATTGGATTAGGGAATTGTATTCCACCATGTTCGGCCGAATAAACACAAACATCCTCTTCGTTTCGTTGCATAACATACATTTGTTTCCGATATTGGCCACTCATTGAATAACTAAGATATAAGCAAGCATTACGATATTTTGCCGGAAAATAATTTTTCGTCCACAAACGAGATGCTTTGAATGACAATTTCGGATTGGTTTGTGGCATACGACCATCAAATATTTGGGTAGCTTTTGATAGATCTGCAACAATCGTTTCTTTTCCAGATCTGTTATCGGTCTCGAATGGTATGAAATTAACACCATTCTTCAAATCACATGGCTGTCGATTGAGTTTGCAATTCCAAATTAAATTCAATGGTGAACGCCATACATTTGTTACTTTGAATGGATGCTCAGAATGAGATGGCCTTCCAGGCGGTATAAAAGGTGGAACTGGAATCGGTGGTCGTGGTGTTATGATAACTGGTAGAGGAGACGGTGATGGTGTTATGATTATTGGCCTTGGTTCTTGGCTATCAGTTCCAGGAGGTGGACCAAACACTTTACGAGGATTGGGACGTTGACCCAACGATATTGTTGGTAATAATGAAGCCAAAAATAAACTAATGGCCAATGTTGAAAGCACCAATCTTGGGCTTACGTTTGTCATTTTTGTGATTTGATTTGATTTTTTCTCCGTCTCGACTATAGTTTTGTTTTGTTTGTCAACGGCAGCTAGTGTGATGTTTCCAATGATCGATGATGATCATAATGTTGACGATGATGATGAGAAATTTTTTTTTTTTTTTTTTTTGGCAATACCGAAAAACTATGACTATGACTTTTTTTCATATGAAAAATTTGTCTCCCACACACACACACACACATATATATCAATCGTGCAATTGGAAAAAAAAGAAATTATCAAATCAACACTCTGATTTTGTACATATGTGTAGTAAAGTGATTGAATGATTGATTGATTGATTGTTTTTGATCATGGATTTTCGATATCAACATTTGCAATATTTTTTTCTTTGATTATGATGGGAATGCTGATGATCATTTAATCATTGCAAAGCGAAAATGTCATTCAGAGGTTAAATTTCGAGATATATTTATGAACGATATCTATGTAGTCCATTTTCTCATGTTTATATAATAATTCTCTTTATGAATGCTTACAATTTGTCCATTTATCAAATCTCGATAAGTTTATTTTATCTTTCATTCAAGGATAGATTTCGGATTATTCGGAAAAGAGATTTTTTGCAAAAAAAATTTTTCATCTTGTTTTGTTTTATTTTTATTACCGATTGAAATTAGTAATTTTGAATTTGATTAATTTTCATATTGATTAATATGAGTCCATATTAAAGATTTGACATTGTTATTAAACCGGAAGATCACATTCAAATGCTTGATTATTTCGACAATAACCGTAACCAATTTTGAAATCACGTACAGCGATAATTGAATCACCACCATTGATACGATCAATTGGATATATTCGTGTTTGTCGTCGATATCGATTTTCTCTGTTCGGTATGTCGAATGAAAATTCAATCAAAAATGCCGAATCTCCTTGACTTAGATCCAATTGTAATTCAACATCACGCCATTCACCATTACGATCATTGATACTGCCCGTATGTGCTGAGAAAATGCATTTATCCTCACGATTACGTTGTATCAGATGCATTCGTTTGTCTTCATTTCCGGACCAAGCATAACTGAAATGTAGACAAGCCACACGATTATTTGCTGGGAAATAATCTCTTGTAACTAAACGACCGGCATTATATGATTTAACTGGATTTAATCGTGGCAATGATTGTCGCGTACGAATGGCTTCGGTTACATCTAAAACCAATGCTGGACTGTTGAAAGCAATTCCACGTTTGAATTGAACAAAATTTGCTCGATTCTCTAATCGACATTGATCTTCACGTGTCATATCACATGACCAATGTGGTCTATTATGATCAAAATAATTTGTTCGTCCTGGTTCAGGCGGATTTGATGGACCATTTGTTGGGTATAACGATGGTACGACAACATCGGTAGATGGACTATTTAATCCACCCGGATATGACACAACTCGAATCGGATCGGTTGAAGGTGAATCGAATGGTCGTGGTTTGTTTGGTGGAAGAATAGGATTCGTGGAAGGTGAGTCGAATGGTCGTGGATTGTTTGGTGGAAGAATAGGATTCGTGGAAGGTGAATCGAATGGTCTGTCATAGTTAGGATCATAGTTGGGTGGTATAACTCGATCGGTCCTTGGTGTGTTGAAAGGATTGTTTTGATTATTTGGGGCAGGCGGTACTACTACAACGCCATCGATCACATTGCTTTGTCCATATGGGCGTAAACTAGGCTGTCCTGGTTCGAGTGGTTTTGAGAAATCTCCTTGACGATAATAATTGCTTTGTCCTGGTTCGATAGGGTTTGGATCATCACCTTGCATCATATCTAATACAGGGCTTCTAGCTCTACGGTTATATTGGTTAGACGGTACAACTACGTCTGTACGAGGAGAACCTAATTCCGGTCGTCGATATTGATTGTTTGATGGCAAAATACCATCTGTTCTTGGTGAATTCAATTCTGGTCTACGATACTGATCATTCGATGGTACGACATAATCATTTCTTGGTGAATTCAAATCCGGCCTCCGGTATTGATCATTCGATGGTACAACATAATCATTTCTTGGTGAATTCAATTCTGGTCTTCGATATTGATCGTTTGATGGGAGTACTATATCCGTTCTAGGCGAATTCAAATCCGGTCTACGATACTGATCGTTTGATGGGACTACTATATCCGTTCTAGGCGAATTCAAATCCGGTCTCCGGTATTGATCATTCGATGGTACAACATAATCATTTCTTGGTGAATTCAAATCTGGCCTTCGATATTGATCGTTTGATGGGACTACTATATCTGTTCTAGGCGAATTAAGATCCGGTCTACGATACTGATCGTTTGATGGTACTACTATATCTGTTCTTGGTGAGCCATAATTATTTCCACCACTGAAATATCGTTGACCAGGTTCAGGAGGTTGGAAACTGCTCTGTGCTAAAACGACTGGATCATCACCTTGCATGCTGTCCAGAAATGAAGTTCCTTGATTTGGCAAAACTACATCAGTTCTTGGTGAACCTAAATCAGGTTTTCGATATTGATTCGATGGTAGAACGACATCAGTTCTTGGTGAACCTAAATCAGGTTTTCGATATTGATTCGGCGGTAGAACGACATCAGTACTCGGTGAACCGTAATTGTTTCCTCCATTGAAATTTCTTCTTCCAGGTTCAGGAGGTTGGAAACTGCTCTGTGCTAAAGCGACTGGATCATCACCTTGCATACTGTCCACAAATGAAGTTCCTTGATTGGGCAAAACTACATCAGTTCTTGGTGAACCTACATCAGGTTTTCGATATTGATTCGGTGGTAGAACGACATCAGTACTTGGTGAACCGTAATTGTTTCCTCCGTTGAAATTTCTTCGTCCAGGTTCTGGGGATTTGATTGTCCATTGAAATTTCTTTGTCCTGGTTCTGGTGGTTGAAGATTTGATTGACCAAAAACTGGCACTGGTACTTCTAGTAGGGCATAGACATTGCCAACGACAATGAAAACGATTGCCAAAAGGCAACCAAATTTTTTCGAAAACATCACAAGTTTTTTTCTTATTTTATTTTTCTGTCGTCGATGATGACAACAACAAACGATCGACAAGTGAATCTAACCATTTCAATTTCGATCGGATATATATGATTCAGCCAAAATAAACGCATTGAAAAAAGCTCGTGATTTTTTTTTTGATAATCAATCTAATCAAATCAAATTCATATCGCTATAATGTTTATGCATGTGTGTTTGCCTTCAGTTTTCAATGATTTTTCTTTAGAATTTCTATAAATCAAGGCAATATATTGAGTGAGATCTACACTTTATGATTAGATTTATGGTAATTTAAACGACATCAACTTATTTATGATGAAAACCAACAATAATAATAATAATAATAATGACGACAGAAAATCATGCAATCATCATTCGTGAAAACGATGACTACTTGGACATTTTAACATCACCACCAATAGTTTAATTGCATTTTTTTGTTCTTTCCGATTGTCACACGGTCTGATGAATAGTGAATAGGAGTTTTGGACAGCATAAAGAAACAACAAATTTTCTGATTTAAAATTGATTTTGATGATAAATACAAATTTTTTTTCTGGTTCGGGCCGATAAACTTTACACAATGAGTTAGAAAGAAAGATTTTTTTTTGTTTATTATGGAATTCCCGCATTATTCATTCATTATGATGATTGTGATTGGAATTGTGTCGTCAATGACTGATACAAAAAAAACTCGTGTTATGATTATGACTCTTGCAATTGAATTGAATTCATTTACAAAAGAAAAAAAAAGATTGGGAAGTAAAAAATTCTGACCAGATCATCATGTATATAATATTTACATTTGTTGTTGCTGTAGTAGCAATATGGGTTGTGTATGATAAATTTTTCGACATGGATTTTGCATTTGTCGTCGTAGTAATATGAAATTTCTGCCATATTAGTATCGTTATTATTCATTCACCCACTTGATATTGTGATGATGATGATGATCTAGTTTCAGAATCTAGTCTTGGGTTTTTTCTTGCATTTCATATGTACTGTATTCGGCGTCGTCGACTTGAATATTGATATGAATCTTTTGTGTATGGTAAACATGGATATATCGAATTGGATACATATTTCTATGGTCACTCTTTAGTGGTTTAGTGGTTGACGTAGATTTTCTCTGTTTATGACATGAAGAAGAAAATGTTATTATTATCAATGTATAATTTTGTATGATGATAATCTTGGGCTATCCACCATCAAAAAAAATGAAACATAGAAGACATTAGCATTCACATTGATATGGAGACATAGGTTTTGGTTGGTTGACATTCGTGTGTTGTTCATTTGACGTGAATGTCATCATCGTTCTCATCAACTAATCCAAACATTCCGGGAGATTTTTTTTTTCTCTTTTTTTTTTTGTTTCACTTCATTTCGTTGATTAATGTTGGCTATTATTTGGGATCTGATTACACACACACACACACACATGAAATCGATTACTGTAAATGTTTTGTTTTATTTTTTCTACGAAAACAACAAACCATGTGAAAATGATAACTTGATTCTATTAATGTGGTATTTATTCACATACCTCATACATTTCTAATGTGGCTGTGTATGCTCGTTGTCGATGAGTTTCAATGTCAAAATTTTTTTTTTTTTTTTGAATCACAAGGGAGAAAAAAATATGACGATTCTTCATCTCTTTGTATGCAAAAATTTTGATTCGCAAATGAAAGATATTCTACTTGTCAGAATTAAAAAAAAAATTCGTTTTTTGATGGTAGTAGTGATTTACAGAAAATTCTACAATATAAGAATCAAGTTTTTTCCCGTTTCATTCGTAAAAAAATGGATGAAAAGAATAAATGAATTGTGTGTGTGTGTGTCTACAACAACTGTCATACTTTTTTTTCTGTTTCTGATTCCCGGTTCGATTGTGTGTGTGTGTGTGTGTAGAGTAAATTATGTCAACTATTAAATTCAAACCATTTTTCCAAAAATTTGATTTTTTTCTTTTTTTTCTCTTTTCATTTTCTAAACATTCATTTCGTTAAAGTTTGTGAAACAAAAAATGAAATGAAATGAAAAAATAGAAAATTCATTAATTTTGATCAAAATTTCCGACTTTTAATGTTGAAATTTTAAATTTCTTGATTTTTTCCAGCAACAAAAAAAATTTTTTTAATTTTTTCACTCTATTTTTTCAACCATAGCTACATTCGTATATACTGTTTTGATCAATGATAAAGTTCAACTACCCTGTGATATACAGCCACCATCATCGGATGATCAAATTGTTCTAGTTCTTTGGTATAAAGATGATGAGGTAAGTGTTGTGTTGTGTTTGGTGTTTTATAATGGTGATTATTAATTCTGAATTTTGTTTTGTAGCTGGCACCAATACTAACATTGGATGGTCGAAAAAGTAAGTTTAAATGGAATTTTTTTTCTACCTTTTGAAATAAACAATGTTACAAATGGTTGCAACAACTAAACTAAACTAAATTAGATTCATGCATCAACATGATAATGATTCCTACCACTTCAGAAAAAAAATGGTATCCGATTATGCAAATCTAAACAAAACATGAACGCACAATCAACTTTATATACCTTTCTATTTGAGCACATTTAAAGAATTTGTAGGGCCACATGAAATATTCTCAATACAGCAAATGACTTTCCTTTACGACAATTTTCACAATGATGATGGGAAAGATAAGGATCCAATCTTTGTAACGATCTCTCTGATCTGCATAAATTTTCTCTTTTCTTCACTTCTGGTTGTTGAATAGGCTAATTGGCTTAACATTTCATAGCAACCTAGATATTAATAGATAGATAGATAGAAGATTGGCATCAAGCTAAGTACCATTCATTCAGTAGACACAGGATATGATTTGATTGGATATGGTAAAAGCTAACAAATTGTTTAATGAAGCTCAATTTTGCTATTCAAATTTTTTCTTTTCTTCTTTTCTCATTGTTTGCATAGCAATATTGTTTGTATTATGTCTAATACATCCAATGTGAATAAGCTAAAGCTAGAGCTTCATTTTTGCTGGATTCTTTTTTATTCACGTTGATTTAATCGATCCATAGGATGATAATGAGAAGAATTGCAATGTTGCTTGTTTGCGTGTGTAATTTTCTGAATTCTCAACATTCGTTTCATTCAATTTGATTTTTAAGATATTTTTTATTTTTCTAAAAAATTGATGATGATGATGACATATCATCATCATTAATAATATCATCTCATATCATATACTTCAGTGAAAGAGTATTCAAATTACAATTCGAAATGGAATCAAATCTTTCAATCAATAGGCCTCAGGCATACAAACACATTCACATACACAATGCAGTTCATCATTATTACAAGTTCTCGGTGAAAAAAAATTGAAATATCGAAAAAAATTTTATTCATATAGACCTAGTAGCTAAACTTGATTTAAAATTATGGATTCAAATACTTTTTCCCAACTGTTCAGCTTGATCAACGGAAATTGGCAAGAATAAAAGAAGAACTGAATTTTTCATCATCATCATTTATGATGGGCAAAATTGATGTCTGGTTAAAAATTGAATTTTTTTTTGTTCAAACTGTTTTTGATTCAAGTGTAAGAATGACGATCAAGACAGATCACTGGCAAGATTTAAATCTAAGTCATTTTTAACCTATCTAAAAACATGAATTTACATGATAGGATGATGATGCATGATTTGCATGCATCATATCATATCAATGATAAAGATGATGATGAATAAATGGAGAAAGAAAATTCCTTTTTTGTTTTTCATTTCATTTTGTCTTGACAACCAACCGATAATGAAATTGTATACCGGTGATTCAATTTCTATGATGATGATGATGATCGTCATTGTGTTTGTTGCTGCTGGTGTTGTCATCGGTCGTAGTACAGTCAACGACACAAGTCATTATTATGCAAAGTATTTTCTATTTTCTATTTTCTGTTTTCATTTTCTTTCTGTTTCATAGAATTTTTCTCATTGTTGTTCATGTTGTCATTTGCTTTGCAAAATTCTCTCATTTCATCTTTATCGTGACTTACAAAAAAAACCGAATCTTAGGAAAGAAATTGTTGTTGGCATCAATAACAAGAATATCGAAATCCCAAATGGTCGATCGGTTGGTTGCTATAGTTGTTCTTGTTGATGATGATGATAAGCAAAACAAAAATATGTGTTTTGTTTATGATGATGATGATGATGATGAAACCCAGACTTAAATGTTATTCTGGTTTATTTACAATTACATTATCGTGAAATGGATCGTTCTTGGAAACAATCACGAGGTTTCCACAACGATATGATTCTTTCATCATCATTATCATAAGATAGCAGTAGATTCAAAGACTGTTGAGCTTGTTTGTTTGATGTTTTTCTTTCTTTTTTTCGCGAAGGAGGTGGAAGAAGGTCATCAATAAAAATGACGATAATGGATTACTAGAATTGTCTGTAAACAATAACCATAAAAATCAAAATCATAATCTGACTACTTTTGACTTGAAAAATTTAAATTAATTCATTCAATAACAAATCATCATTTCCATGTAATGATGATAACACTGTTCACAGAAATCATACTACTAGATGATCAAATTCAAGTTTAAACATGAACATCTAGATTCTAGACTCTAGACATTGGAATTGGATCTTAATGTATCTAATGTATTCTGTCCACATATATGTGTGAAAGTTCATTCGTGAATGAGTGAGAAAAATTCCCATGGAATAGATGTTATTATCATGATAATAAAATTGCAAAATTGCATTAATAATTTATACTTTTTTCTTGGTTACTATTATGATGATGACGATCATCATCATAAACAAATTTCATGAACTAGGTGTGTTGTGTTGTTGCGTACAACGAGTTGGTGGAACCCCAAAAAACATTCAATTTTAACTTTGATGTAAGAATAAAAAGAAGAATTTTTTTTGAAAATGAAAAGGTCTTCGTTGAATGCTTCTTTGCTCACATTCAGAGAAAAGAGTTTTAATTTTTTTTTCACTGTGCATTAATGTCTTTTGTGGAAAAAAACATGATCTAAAATTCCTGTTTCAATCATTTGGCCAAAATTTTTTTTATTGGAAAACTCACTACCGTTTTACAACGGTTAAAATTTTTTTGTTAGCTGAGAAATTTTCCTAAAAAAGGAAAGCAAAGTCATTGGCAACATTTTTTCCTCTCGCAACATATATAATGGTATATATAAAATCATCATCATTGAATTTAGCTGTTTTGTAACGAATCTTGAATAATGAAAAGAGAAATTTGTATAGCAGCCACTATTGTTTTTTGTTCATTCATTTATTTATCTAGCACAGAAAAAATGTTAATGATGAGATTAACATTCTTTTGCCTCTGTTGGTGAGTCAGTGTGTGTAGGAATGAATTTTTTTTCCATGATCCAAATCATAATGATGATGATTATTTTTTTGACTAAAACACAAACTTTGCCTTCATTGATCGAATAGTGACATTGAACACACACATAATTTATATGAACCAGAAAAAATGAATTCTGAATTTCATTCTTTGATCCTGTTGTTTGTTTATTTACTTTGCACGTATACACAAAGAGATACACAAAGTGGCAAGTTCATATAATGAAAAAATGGTTCAACAATCTTTTCGTGTGTCTGTCGGTGAAAACGAACGATTTATTTACTAGTAGACAAATAATTTCCGAATGTGGAATAAAATGAATGAATGAATCATTGGTTCAAATGTTGGCGAAATTTTCTGTTTCACAACATCCAAGCCACAGTACAACCACCTAGTCTTTAATTCCACGATCTATTTCAGCTCTAGAGAAAATTGTCTGTAAGCTTTAGCAAGATCTCTTAATTAGATTTCTCTTATAAATTTATGTGTGTGTGTGTGTGTGTGTGTGTGTGCGGTGTTTGTATAAAAGATGAAATGGAAAAAATGAATAAATGAGAATAGTCGCTATATTAAAACATGCACTATACCGATACGAATAAAATCATTCATGGATCAGTTAAGCAGTAAAAAATGAGATCAATTCCTATAACGTTCAAATGTTTCACCCGAAGGTTCCAGGAATTATTTTGGCAGGAAAAAAATATGGAATCGAAATTCAATTTTTCTCATCATCATCATCATCACCAATCAACGAAAATTCGACAATTGTTCTTATGATAATAATAATAATCAATTTTCGGCACTTGACTTTTTTCTTTTTTATTTATTCTCTTTCTTCTTCTTTTCGTTTTTTCGTTTCGTTTCATGAATGTTTGCAATGAATTTTTTTTTTTTTGTTTTTGATCGAATAATAATGAATGAGAATGAGGTCATCGTTTTTTGTATGACTAGACATTCGATTCAATTCGTTGATTTCAGTGTTTTATATGATTGAGAGGAAAAAAATGAAAGTTCTCTGATGAAATATTTGGTCATCAAAAAGATGTTTTCTATTTTATGATCACACACACACACACACACACAATTCGATGCACTATGAATTATGAATTACGTTTTCAACATTCATTACAATTTTGACTTTTGAATCAATTTTTTTCAGTTGACTAAGTTACGAGTTTTTTTCGCTTATCGGTATATTTTTCCAATTTTGCCGGTTTTGTTTTTGCAATTTGATCTATCTGGTTGCTAAAAGATTTCGGATAGATAAATTACTATACATGTGTGTAGTATCAGAATTCATTTCATTTCATTCATATAACATGGGCGTCGGTTTTTTCACTACAAATTCGATGAAATCAAAAAAAATGGTTCCCCTGTCTGATTGGAAAATTAATTTGTTTTTTTTTCTATTGGACATGAAAAAAAAAAACACAACTCTAAAAATTCATCATCATACTTTTTTCGTTTGGATGTACAATTTTTTTCTTGTTTTTGCACACTGAACTTGATTCATGGTTGATCGGTTGTTTGAACAAGAAAATTATGATACACGAACATTACCTAAGTTATGTGTGAGCTTGAAAATGAAAAAAAATAATCATCTCTAAACTTAATATTGTAGTTGGTGGTATTTTTTTTCGCAAAATATGTTTGACTTCACATAGAAAAACATTGACCTGTGACACATGTATGTCGCGTGCCGCATATGAATCCCGTTACACACAAAGAGAGAGAAACGGTAAAACCATAAATTATAATTTTCTCTTTCAGGAAAAAAAATACCATTCCCGATAGCGGGTAATATGATCTCGTTGTCATATGTTGTAATATAATAATCATCTCTCTGTGCGCCAAACACATAACATCAATATTCGAAAAATGTCACTTGCATTCATTTTTCCTTTAGACATTGCCAATAGTTTTGATTTTCATTCCCTTTTTTTTCTCTCTCTCTCTTTTATCTTATTTTCTGGGAATTTCATATGCAGATCAATTGGATCCAGGTGCAGTTCAAGTTTCAGCATCAAATCTGAGAGGTAAGTTTAGTCAGTCGATGATTTTTTTTAACAAAATTTGTTTTTTCTCATGCAGGTCGAGCCTATTTCAATGTACATGGTAGACCAGCACATCTTTCAATCGATCCGGTCGCTGCATCCGATGAAGGTGATTATCGTTGTCGTGTTGATTTTCGTAAAGCTCGTACAATTAATACAGTGATTTCATTGAAAGTGATTGGTCAGTATCTTCATCATCATCATTATTCCAAATGAAAATTTCAAAAATTTTTCAAAATAATTCAATTATAGTTCCACCACAAGTGCCAAAAATTACCGATCAAGATGGCAACTATCTAAGCGGTTTGGTTGGCCCATACAATGAAGGTGATGAACTTGCATTGACTTGTCTCACAAAAGGTGGTAAGTGCTTGAATATAAGATATTTATTCATGCGAAATTCATTTTATTGCTTGTGAAGGAAAACCACGACCATCATTAATCTGGTGGCGAGATTTCGCCATCATTGATGATTCTTTTGAATTCGATGATCGAGACGGTATGTTTTTGGTTCAAGTTTTCTATTTTTCCCACTTCTGTTTCTATTATTATCTTCTATATTGTGATGTGATTATTTCCCAAGAAAAAGAAAAAGCCAGAAAAAAATTGAATTTAAATTCCCCATATAGAAGATAAATCAAAATTCAATTTCTTTCTCGGGCTTCATTTTTCATACCAGAAAAGTCTTTATTTTTCTTGTTTTCTTTTATCCCTTTTTTTCGTTTCGAATTTTTTTTCATCAATTTCTAATATACTTTTGTTTGTGTTTTTCTTATTCTTTTTCGTCATTGTGGAATCTATTTCAAACTCGCATGATAAATAAAATAACGGAACCTTTTTTCAAACAATCATCATTAATGATGAACGAAAAAATCGATTAAATATTCGATTATCATTACAATTTGGCCATGTTATACTTGTTTTCCTGTTTCGAATGGATTTGAACAACAACAACAACAACAACAACAACAATGACGAAAATAATCAAATTTCATCAACCATCCACTATTACTACTAATACTACAACGAAAAAAAAACAACTGAAAACATCATTCATGTTCATTGTCGGCATGCCTTATGCGGTTTTTTTGGGAATTTCATAATTTTTTTCTGTTTTGTTTTTGAAATATTCAATTTCTTTCATTATGGCCGTCGTTTTCATTTTTTTGTTGGGCTGGTTAATTTTAATATTCACAATCATAATAATCATCATCATCATGACCATAATAATAATAATCAACCCACTATGAATTCTAATTCTCGTATATATGACTCTCATGTTCCTTCATCATCATCATTGTCGGGCGTCGGGAATAATGATAAAACGATTTCAACCAAAACTATTATGGTTCCGACAAAAAAAAACTTTGTCCAACTTTTTTTCTCTTCTTCTAATAATGAAAAACTCACGACCATGGCAATGGATGATGATGATGATAAAAAAAAATTTCCTTCTCACTTATTCGGTTCGTGCACAACATATCTTTGGTTCTTTATTTTGGTCGATTATAACGATTTATCATCATTTCGGCTGGTTTTTGCTTTATTTGTGTTTGTGTGTGTGTGTGTGTGTGTGGAATTTTCATCCATGTTATATGGATCGATTTTTTTTGTACATGTGGGCGTATTTCATCATAATTGTGAATTTGATGCTAATACTATGAATGTGAATGGGCCATGAACCAAACATCAACTTATCAAAACAAAACCAAACAACTAACTAACTAACTAATCGGTTGGCCAACGACAACAACAACAAAAATAAAATGAAAAAAATAAACTTTGCTTTTTTCGCTTCAACCAATTGTTGTTGTTGTTGTGGTGGTGGAACAACTAATAATAATAATAATCTACTCTCGAAAAAAATACTTCGGTTCATTGAATCTAATTTGCCAACTGATGTACGCCCATATATAAAACTTGAATTATTATCATCATCATCATCATCATCACTATCAAATGGTGTTTGTTTTGAATGATTAATTCATTTTTTTTCCATTCGTCGCTGAATAATTCTTACTACCACTGTTTGTCTGTGTGTGATTTTAATTAATCATTTTTCATCAACACCAACCAACCAACCAACCAACCGACCGACCATCATTATTGATCATTGCCATGCAAATGCACCTGATCATTTTTCATCTTTCATATTGATTTCGTGTGTGATTGTGAATCTATTCATTGTGTAAAACAAACAAACAAAAAAATAAATTTGTCTCAAAATTGATTCGAAAAATTTTGTTTAAAATTCAAATCATTCCTCCAATAACAACAATCGATTTGAAAAAAAATCTTGTGTGCTGTGTGTCTTTTTTGGTTTAAAATTTTTGAAAAAAAACTTTAAATTCTTTGGATATTTGATACACTTTGCTTTCCAAACCTTTCCAAATCGATTCATCATTCATCATTTTTTTTTATTGTGAAACCCCTTCTGCTCATGACTGTTGTCAATATATCTAAAATATCGCCCTCTCGACATAAATCGTACAAAACAAAACTCAAACTAAATTCACGTTTTTCTTTTCCATAACATTCCATGCATACAATAATAACCAAATGGCAAAAAAAATTGATTTTCATCCACCAATTTTTTTTTTTTTGCTACTGTTACATCATCTTGTGTTTTTATGTGGCATTTTGTTGTTGTTATTTTTCTATATTTTTGGTTTCAAAATTTATGATTCTTTGTTATTGTCATCTTTGAATGATATGTGATATGGTGCGTTGTTGTGATGGTTTATGCATTATTAAATTACATGTCGTCGATGTTTATTTTTTAAATTTCAATTTTTTTCTTCCATTCTGGATTCCTGGGCATTGTGTATGTGTTTTTGTTGTGAAAATTGATTTTTTTCTCTTCTCTTCTCTTCTGTCTGCGTGTGTTTGTACATCTCATCCTTTTCTTTCTGAATTCATTTTGGCATTCATTTTCAAAAATTGAATTTCGCCATCATCATATTCAATTCATTTATTGTCATCATTGTGTAATCATTGGTCGATTTTTTTTGTTCATATATGATGCTCTTTTATTTTCTATTGAAACAACGCACGCACACACACACAACAATAGTGACAACAAACGAATTGGTCATCACACGTTTGTCTCGACATCATTTGTTAGCAATATTAATGTGCCAAGCTATCAATTCAAATATAACGACTACGCCAGCATCGAATTCCATAACATTGGATCTAAATCGTATGTGTTTTCTTTCCATATATTTTTGTTTGAATCAATTTTTTTGAATTTTCTCTCTCTCTCTCTCTATTATTATCTGAATCTAAATTGATGATGGCCGAATAAATATCATGGTATTATGTTATGAAAAACGGCCGAAAAGAAGAAAAAACAATATTCTTTATCCATTTTTCTTTTCCCTTGATTCTCATTATTTTCGTTATTATTATTATCAGCATTTTTTATTTTGATTATTCGGTCAAATTCGATCAACATTTTATTCTGGGTTTCTGGATTTTTTTTATTGTATTTTGTCATGATTTGTTTGTTGTGATTTTCTTTTCTTTCCGATCGGATTGAAAATCTGATGTTGTTTTTATTTTTATTTACTTTTCTCAAATGTTCGATGTTGTTGATTTTGACAACAACAACAACAACAACAACAATAAGAATTAGATGACGGAAAAAATCTTACTTTGATCCCATTGTGGGGGTGCGAAAGTCACAATCATAGAGGCCGGTAAATATTTGGCGCTAGTTTTTCGAGTTTGTAAAATAAATAATGAACAGACATTTATCATCGGCAGAAACAAAAAACATTTTCTCAATCGTGCAAAATTCAATGATATCCTGTGTTCTGAACACTTCTTTTTTTTGGTTTGAAAACAAATTGAACATGTTTTTTTCATATTACGAATATGACACTTGTCAACAATTTTTCATTTTCTTTAATTCTGGTTTTTTTTCTAATGATCAGCTAGGTGCTTATTTGAAATCGATTCGCCAGTCGTTTTATCCTGAAAAAATGTGTCGAAAAATTGTGATACATATTTTACCGTTGGTAAACAAAACAAAAAAATTATTTTATTTTATTCAATCGTTTCGTTTTTTTTTTCGTTTGGTTGATTTGGATTTCAATTTTGACATTGTTTCCCTGTTTGATTCGTGGTGTTGCGGATTTTGTAGATCTTCTGCAATCAGAATCGATCACTCTAAGGGACAAAGAATAAGAGAAAGAAAACTTTTTGTTTTGGTTTCTAGGAGACAGCTGGCTGTCATTCATAACCTCGGAGAATAAAAAGAAAAAGATTTTTTTTCTTTTTCGATGATTGAAACCGATTCCGCCCCCACATCGAAGTTAGTGAGTGAATGAAATCTGAATCGCATTCGTTTCTGTTTCTGTTTTCGATTTCAATTTCGTTTTTTCTCACAATTTTTTATGAATTTTTCTTCTTAAATATTCTTCATTCTTTGAGTTGCTTATCCAAGCTTAGCATTTGCCATTTTTTTGTCATTTAAAAACATACAGTGATACGTCGATTTACGATTGTTTTTGTTGGACTAAATGGTCTACTAAATAACATATCGATGGCCATAACATTAATCTGATCTTCTTCATCACATGATCTTTCTTTCTCTGAATTATCGGTAGTTGCATATCATTTGAAATTATCATTTCATCATGCTGAATCTTGATGTTGCGTTGTGTAGAAATGTGCATATGTTCCAGTAATCATCAGCATCATTTGTATTACAACAAACGAATATTGTATTTTGTATGCGTATTTCATCTTCATTTTTTGACATTATTCTGAAAAGATGACAAATACAGATGTGCACGTTTTTTTTCTTTGTTTTGTTTTGTTTATTTCACTTCAGTTCATTTCAATTTAGTTTTTTTTTCTTATGGATCATCGTTGCTTCATGATGAAATGTTTCGATTCTTGTCTGAGTACATAGTTGAAAGAATTCGATTGCTTGCACTTGGGCTTGCATATCAAATCAAAAAATCATCATCAATATTTTTTCAGCTGATTTTCACTCAGATCAATTTGTCAATAAACCATGGTTGGTTTTTTCTGGCTTACTCTCATTATGAGAAATACGCCTTTTATTTTCTTGCTTCACCCACTGGTTTAGATTAGATGATTTGTTTTCAATTTAGTTCCAAAATTCATACACACACACACACGGCTAAATTCCAGGAAAGATAGAATTCATCATCTTGCTTATGGTATTGTTGTATTTGTTTCATTTTCTTTTTGTTCAAAAAAAAAATAGAAAAAGATTTGAATTTATTTTTATTTCGTTGTTTTTTGAATTGCCGCCATATACACACACACACTGATAGCATTCTCATCGGAAATTGAGATTTTTTTTCTGCTTTTCTAATGTTGTTGCTTTGGTCCGAGAGAAAATACTTCATTCCTTGGTTGACAATTAATTATTTTCTGATTTTGAATGAATTTTCTTAAACTTTAAATGCACCGAAATGAAGAACTGAGAAATAGCAGCAGACTCACTCGAGCATTTGATATTCTCAACGGAATTATTATTGAGAATGGCGAAGTAGTGAAATTTTCATTTCACATGGGCACATTAAACTATTTTGGGGCCTTGATTTTTTCTTTTTTTTTTTCGATTTACATTTTTTTTCTTTCTGTATTTCATTTTTGTCATCATCATTGATTACTGTTTCAAAAACAGATATATATCCCAAAAGTATTAATTTTCTTTTCAACAACTTGAACTGATTTTATTTATCTTGTTTTTTCTTTTTCTCTCTTTCTCTCTCTCTATTTTCATCCAATTTTCATCTCTAATACCCGACGAAACCGACAAAAACCATTATTTCAAAATACCGGTGTTGAAACATCCGATGTTGTGAATAATGACAATAACACTAATAATATATTGTAGTAAAACCAAGCGAAGTGAGAATCACCCAGCTGACGCCAATATTGGTTGCCGGTGCCGATGCTTTGTTTGAATGTAATACGTTTGGATCACGACCAATGCCAATCATTTATTGGTTATTCGATGGCAATCGTTACGATACAAGAATTCATGGTAAGTTTATGCCAATTTTTCATATCATTCATTTTTTTGTTGTTGATAAAAAACTTGTTGAGATTGTGTGTGTGTGTGTGTATAGTTTTAAGCTTTTTATGCATGTTGTTTTAATATTTTGTAATTTTTTCTGCTCAACTATTTTGAAAACTTTTTTTCCAGTTATTTATAGATAGATTTGATTTTCATTCATTTTTGTTGAAAAAATACAATATTATTAATTTAGAGAGAAATTTATTCTTTGTCCACATTTGAAATTGACTACTGTGGAATTTTGAATTTTTTTTTCGCTCTCTTCAATTGAATCAGAGTTTTAGTGTTTTTGCTGTTGATGGTTCTAGTGATTACGATGATGATAGATGAAAATTTTTCCCTTATGGAAACTTTAATGTGATGATGACTGATTCCATTGATAATTCCTACTATGTAATCAAGTTATTTTACATTATTCATCATGTTTGCACATGATGATTCACTTTTGACTTTCCATATTCCATTTCTATTTTTTTTTTTTTTTTTGGCAAAGAAATTCATGGGATTAATTTTTTTTTTTTGATAATAAAAAAAATAATTGCAATGAATAAAGTCAAGAATCAATGTTTGTCGTTGATAATGTTTTCAGTTTTTACCTGGAAAAACACAACCCTATATGGTGGTGGTTGATTTGTAGTTATTTTGTTTGAATTCTTGAACTCGTATATTTTTTTTTTGCATCGACAACGATGATAATGATGTTGTTGTTGTTGTTGTGCATCAAATAAATCGCCATGTTTTAATGTCCAAATGTTTGATGCATAAAACGCAGTAGTATAGAATTCATCTATTTATGTTTGTCTGTGTTTGTATTTAGTTGAAGAATGTGACATTATTATCGTTATCGAGAATATCTAGCAATTGTTTAAATATTGACATTTCTGTATATATCACTAATATTAATCGTGATGATGATGTTTGTTCGGGTTTTCCTTCTGGACTTTATATGTTTTTTTTCTCTCATTCAACTACTGTTTACTACTTTTTGCTCGATGTTGTCGTTGTTGTTGTTGTTGACATTCAAAGTTGGAAAACATTTTTTTTTTTTTTTTTTGATCCTCACTACTTTTTTTTCTGAATCAGGCTTTGTGGTTCCGAAGGGTCTTGTTATTTTTGATTGGCTTTCATTTTTTGTTGGTTTGTTTGTTCATATGTGACTGTTTTAGAATTTGGTCAAAATGAAAAAATTTAGTTTTCATTTCATCAAGTTGTTGTTGTTGTTGTTGTTTAATTGTCACAATTTCTCTCAGGTTTTTTCCTTTCTATTTCTTTACGCAAAATCCAGAATATGAAATTTTTTTATGCATTGAATATTTTGCGAAACTGTAAAGTTGTTGTTGCCATTTTCAACTATTCTATATTGTTGACAATCAAGGATGGTAAGAAGTTTTTTTTCGCGTTGAAAATGAAAATAGAAATCCTCTTGAGTGTATTCAATCTTGGCTTCCTTTTGTCGTTTCATATAAATATATTCACTCTATGTCAAGTACACACTTTGATCGAATATTGTTTATTTTCTCTCACTCTCTCACTCTATCGTTATTATATTTCCGTATTTAAGATTCAATTAAGAAAATTAAAATGAATCAATAAATGATATCAAGTGTTGAAAACATTATCAATAAACATTAGTTTGATGATGTGTCGATTTTTTTTTTTTTTTCGAAAAAATGGGCTTCGATTAATGTTGTCGATGGAATCCATTTAGCAATATGAAATGAACGTAATGAATAATACAAATAAATACATGTGAAGGGAATTGAATTGCAGAATTTTCATCTATATTCCGTTCTTGGAATTAAACAGGTTCAAAATGACATCATTTTTTGAGGCTTTTGTTTTTTTCATTTCTGTATATTTTTTTCGTTCATGATAAAATTAAATTGGATTATTTCTGTTCTCTCTCTTTATATATAATGTGGATGTGCATGTAGGTTTTTTTATATAAGAAAATAACTTGCGATAGACAAATGGCAATCATAGACCCCACACACACACACACACCATAATGATTTGGTTAGAAAATTTTTTTCTTTTGGTTTTTCATGCATTTTTCCAGAATTTTATATTAAATTTTCATGTTGATATTGAGTTCAAGTGAAAAAAAATCATCATGAACACACACAGGCAACAAGAATCTCATTTTCACTAACCATTTATATGAAAAAAAACAAAAGAAAACAAAATCATTTGCCACACAAGTAGCGTAGGTAATGTTGTTTATCGTCGTTATATGGAATTTTTCATTTTTTCCAACTTTGTTATCGTCGGTAACAATTATGATTATCTTGATGGTGATGCAAAAAAATTTTTGATACAAATTATATGATTGTAACCATTGTTTTTTCTGTGATTCTACACACTTGATGTGTTATCATCATCATCATGACGATAATAAAATAAAATAAAATTCTATTCATTCGGATGAATTTTTTTGTTCGGTTGGTTGGCAACAATTTGATGATATTTATTCCATCTACTCGAAATTGATCGAAAAATTGAGTTGTCCATTTATATTTTTTTCCTTGTAAATCAATGGACCCAACGGCAGAAATAATAATATTCACCTATTTTTTCATCGTTGTCATGGCTGATTTTTTTTCATTTCTCTATCCACACAACACACAGAAAAAATCTCAATTTTGCAATTTTTTTTTCTTTGCATCTTTCATTCTTTGTCCTTTTTTGACTTATCAATGATCTCATCGATTGTCACATGCACACACACACCCTAACATTGTTTGGTACATTGTTCGGTTGACAGTTTTGCCTTGTTATTGTTGTTTATATTTGCATTTCTTTTCTTTTCTGTCTTCAATGTTTATCTATGGCCTTGTTCGTTTTGAATTGTACATGTCACACACTGTTCAGCGGGTATCATGTATATTCTTAAATATGGAAGTGAAGCAAACATAATTTTCCACATTTAGCTATTATATATTGTTGTTGTTGTGTGCGTGATTTATGAAGGAAAATAACGAACCAATGACAGTACTGAAGTGACTGAATGGTGGCCATTTATGGTGGATGAAGATTTTAACGTCTTCTTTTTCCATTGACAATCATTGAATCAAAACACATCAAAATTGAATGAATCCATTTTTTGATCGCCACTTTCTTTTGTCCGCTGCAATAATATTGATTGGCTTCCACTTTTAACGTCGTTGTTGTTTTTTTTTTCTCGAATTCTTGATGTTAAATGTCAACCCAAATCATAATATGATGATTATTATTTATAAATCGTTCAACTCTGATAAATTGGACGTCATGTTTATTTTTTTTCACTTATCAATTCACCTAGGAATGATGACTGTGAATCAATGCTTGAATCGTTTCTCAAGTTGATGATCATTAATCGTTTATTTTGATTATGATGATGAAGTTGATCGCTTATCACTTGAATTATTTTGAGCCATAGCTATAGCGTTTCCAGTTATGATCTTTATTTCTTTTCCTTGCTCTAATTTTATTTTCTTATCATTTTTTCATATTTATTAACAACTTTGGTGATAATGATAATGATGACCCATTGCCATTTTTTTTGGAGACGATTTTATCGATCACAGTATGTGTTCGTTTTAGAATTCAAATTTTTCCTTTCTGGTTGCTCTCTTTTCAATTCGATGAGCCAAAATTCATGTGAAAATTTTCATTCTGCTCAGTTGTATATATTATCCGCATTGCACACGATTCAAACAAAGGATCAAAAAATTCATGGAATTTACAGAAAATGAAACGTACACATATCATCATCATCATCATCATCATGAATTTTGAAAAAATAAAAAGAGAATCATGAATAGAGATCCCTTGAAACGAACAAAAAAAGCATTTATTCCCCTGAAAAATTCTTTGTTTTTTTGTTTTGCATTGATATGTTTTATTTCGAAAGCAAAAAAAATTATTTATTATCACTGAAAACGGTCCATTTTGTTTGCTGCTTACGGCGGCAATAACAATCTATAATGATTATGATGATTGTAATGATGATAATGATTGCGATGGATATGGAGAAGTGATCATTGTTTTGAATTATCATCATTATTCTTTTCGTCCTATTACTCACAGCGGTATCATTGTTTTTCTTCATTCTCGCCATCTATTAATAAGTGGATTCATAACGATAATTTCTGGATTTTAGGTTTTCAGACGAGCAACTAATTTTTTCTCTTTCTTGGACTCGCTATGATTAAGATGTTAGCATTGTCTTTTTTTCTGGTACTACAACAGTATCATAGAGTTGACAGAATTTCTTCATTTGTCATTATGTGATTATGAGATCTTGATTCGTTAAGTTTATCAGACCAGAAATCAAACAAATAAACAAGAAGAACTATTGTGGAATTTGTTTTTTGTTGTCTTCCAATTCAATCATATACAGCTAGAATTATATATCACATAGCAGATGTTGCTACTACTTTTAGTGGTGACTTTCTCTCCTTTTTATTTTGTTCATCTCTATTTCTATACGTTTTTTATTTACTTAAACTTCTGAAAAGAGCCTTATAGGTTTCTGTAGACTTTCTTTTTTGGATTTACTTTCTAATTAACTTTCTAGCTTTTTATACAGTGGTTTTTTTCTTCAGTCTTTCTGTGGCAAACCAACCTTTGATGGTGGTGGTGATGATGAAATGAAATGTAATAAGATGTTATATGAAAAGAAGAATTTTCATTAAAGTAAAAAGAAAAAAGTCGCGATTTTAGGGTACAAATACAAATACAAATATATATTATTTACGACAATAATAACAACTTGTGAATGAATTGGAAAAGTTCATAAACAGAAATGAGCATTTTAAGTAAAAACCTTTCGAATAATATTTATTACATTTGATTGTACCGAAACCGGCCATCAACCGAACCATTTTGTTCTTGAAAGTTTTTTGTTGGCTAGGGAGCTTTCTGTATGATTGTTTCTTGGTAATGAAATCCAATTCTGTAGAATTTCCTGTGTTTTTTTTATCAAAAACCATGATCAAGACAAATTTATTCTGTCAAAATATTTATCGGTTTTCCATCCAATGATGATGATTGCACAAAATACAGTGGTACCACGGTTTCTGGTTGCTTCGGATAACTTTGAATGTTTTTCTTTCAAAACGATTCATCATCATCATCAACTATATGTTTTAGAACGCCATATATTTATTTAACCCGTTCAAAAAATGGACATTGAAGAATGTTGTCTGGAAAATCAGTAAATGAAATGCAAATTCATTATCAAGGAGAAGCTAGAAAATGTTGTAGACCAATTGATATGATTAATGATCAAATGTAGATATAAAACACTGGTTGTCTATAAAATGAAATGAACCAGAACTTTGTTGGCCATGCTATTTGGAAAATTTATGTTTTTTATATTTGAATCTCAGACTGAATTTTTTCTTTTTGCTTTGTCCTTTGAAAAATTCATTTTCTAAATTGTTTGTTTGTTAATTTGTTGATCAGTAAAGAAATGACAATGTTGATGATCAAGTATTAGAAAAAACAAACTTGGATCTCTGATTATTATAAAGTTGTTTACAATTCTGTTTGCTAGATTCTGGTCAGATCCTTTTTTCACTGTTCTGGTTCGTTTCCACTTACTTATCATCCTTATTATTTCCTTTTTTTTGTTTTTATTTTCGGTTCAGTTGGTTTTCTTTCTTGAGATGAGATGATTGAACGATCATGATCACGATGATGATGATCGGTTTCCATGTGAATTTTGGACGTCTGGAATTTCATGAATACCAAGCCAGATACAAATAATCCAAATAGTTTGTTGCTTTTTGTTGTTTTTGTTGCTTGTCCTTAGTTTTTTGTTGATTATTTTCGGTTCTCTTGTTTTGTTTCATGTATGTGTGTGTTTGTTTGTTTTATAAGTTTCAGGGTCTTAACTCAATATATTTATATTTATTTGTGTGTCCTCAACATATCATTATTCAATGAATTGATGCCATTGGGGATTTTTTTTCATCTTCTTTGGTAGCCGGAATAAAAATAATAATAACAATAACAACAATAACAACAACAACAACAACAACATTAAACATTTTAAAAGACAATCTATCCGATTTCAATTTCGAGCTTCGATGGATGATGATTTTGTTGTTGTTTTTCCACTAAAACATAAACACAAAAAACAATTTACAATTTATAATCCTTGGATATGTCCATTCATCCATCCAGTTCAGTTGTCCATAGTTGCAATTGAATTAAACATTGTCATTTTGTTTGTTTGAATGAAACAAAAATGTAACAACAACAACCGGAAACGAAAACTTGAAACTAATTATCATCATTGATTCTTTGCTGTTATTGACAAAAGATTCCTCTTTTTATAACGGTTAACAAGAACAATTTTACGTGCATGTCGACAAGACATCGTCTGATAAGGGTTCATCATCGATTTGATCGTATAATTTTCGTTCTGATGTGTATTTTTTTTTCTTTTTAAAAAATACATGTATTATCCATACAACAAATCGACAAACGAACGTTTACATTATGCAAATTGGATTCATCATCATCAACATTTCTGATTCATTCATTTACATTCTCATCTATTCACGGCATTTTTTCTTTTAATTTTTCTATACAAAATTCTTTCATCTAGTTTCTTTTCCATTGTTTCAAATCATTTAGACAGTTTCTAGTTTAAATAATTTTTTCATACCATTGTGATCAATTCTAGTTTCTTAGTTACATCAACGTTTGTTGAAACTTAATTCGAGATTTGATGTCCACTCAAAAGTTTCAAGTTGTCTCTTCACAACGACATAAATCAAAATGTGTTTCACCTGTATTCTTTTTTTCTCGTCTAAAGTCTAGACAGGAGTCATTCAAAAAAAAAACTGTGAATTGTCCATGAATTCAATGAAACTTTACTCTACTTTTTACTGAGAAAAAAAAGATGGAAATTCTTTGTCTAATTATCTAAATTAAAAACTTTTTTTTTTGTACATTAAGCAGTACAATAAATTATCTAAAACAGAATGAAAAAAAAACAAAGCTTCCTAGAAATGTACAATTCATTTTTAATTTGAAAATGATCGTGAATTGTAATTGAAATCAGAAAACAATCGAATAAACCTTGAAATGATGTTGATGGCGAAAAAATTTACATCAATTTGAATTAGTTTGGCCTAGTTAAATCCGTTAATAATCTAATGAGGGGGAGGGCAGAAATGAAAATTGTTCCGTGTTGGATATTTATTATAACGAACAAACGAACAGCAAAAAAAATGTCTCAAGATTGATCGTTTGTTATCAATTAATTTTATCATTACGGTTGATTCATTTCATCCTCTCATTGTCTCGACATGAGAATGATTCGAAATTCCATTGAATTATTTTGATTGAATTAAAGTTTTTTTTCTCTCATTTCCTCCGATGAAGATACACACAATGCACACATATGCATTCAATAAATAGTTTTTCGGAAATGAATGAGAATTAGATTTATGAATTCTTTTTGTGTGTGTGTGTAATATAAAATTGAAAATGACTGAAAATAATCATACGCCAGCACAAACATAAATACACCGTACGTGTGTAAAAGAAAATTCGATGGCAAATCATTTATTAAGCATTAAAATTGTTCATTCATTTAACTGAGTTGGTTTTCTAATGAATAAAAATAAAATGGCAAAAGATGCTATCCTAATGCGGAAACCTTATTTTATTTTTTTTTGTGCAAATTTTGCCATTCTCTTCCATTATACATTTTAGTTTAGTTTAGTTTAGTTTTTATTTCATTCATTTTTTTCGTTTTTCGTTCTTGGATTCAATTTTAAACGCCGAAACATTTTAAGGGAAAAAAATCATTCTAAAACAAAATCCTCTGAAACTGCAAAAAAACAACAAGAGTGCCAGAGAGAGAAACAAGATTAGAAATAGAGATTGATTAGGAATAAATGAATGTTTGATTTTCATTTTCAGCACAATCACAGAGAGCAGACTAAGAAGATAGGAAGTCGATTCATTTAATTTCATTTTATCGAAGGCAGAATGTTTGAAAAAAACGAAGAATTCTTTTGACATTTTCAAGCATGATGACTAACTACTCAAGTTTTTCTTTTTTTGTCCTGTACTGAAATAATCGTTTCGCAATGTTTGTTCATTTGAAACAAGTGATTGACACAAGACCAATATCAAAATAGATGATCAAACGAAATAATTCCACACAGGCAACAACAAGTAAAACATTAGGATGGTAAAGTTTGAAAACTTTTTTTCAAAAAACAATTGGGGCAAAACAAAATCGTATCTTTTTTTGCTTGTGTATACAAACTTTTTCTCTTCATCGGAAACAGTTTCATCATTTCATGATCATGATCAGTTGAAAACACTATCCACCGACAATCGAAATTTAATAAATAAATTGGAATTGAAATTGAAAAAAAGGATAAACCATCATCATTTGATTCATTTGCACTATATCATTATCTGGAGCTTATAAATAATTCAACCAATCTGAAATGATGACAATGTCAAGACCTGTATGACATGTGCTATACATGTGATTGGTATAGATTACATGATGATGATGAAAATATGTCGTTTGTTCGAGTTGTAACTGCCCATCATTCCCGGTAAAAATTGAATAGGTGAATGTCGTTTTTCACCGTCAGTATTCATTAATTAACCTAACATACTAGACTCGTGATGTCGGTGAAAAATATCAATTAATGCCCGAGATTTTTCATGTCCTCCTTCTTTTTTGCCGTTTTGTTTCATTATTCACTTTGAAGTTTAGTTCAGAAAAATATGATGATAGCAATTAAATATTTCTTTCTGTGATCCATCCTTCCACTTCATTTGTACGCTATTTTTTCTTTGTGTGTGTGTGTGTTTGAGAGCAAGTTTTTAAGTGTTCACTTGATAATGATGATGATCATTGAATTTATATTTTTCATTCATGAATTCTGGGTTGATACTAATTGACAATAGCAATTTGAAAGAATGTGGGTGCATTCAGGTGGGCGGTTTGTTCAGTAATAATAAATTTGAAGATCATTTTTTCCGATGAATGATGGATCGAGTGAAATTGAGCAAGAAAGCAAGCAAAAAAAAAGAGAAAAAACAATATTCCTTGAAACAATATTCACTATAAACATCTTTGTTTTTCAAAAATTTTATCATTATTTTGCTTCCAATTATTCTGACAACAGCAACGAATAGAATAAAAAGTGTGAAAAAATTTTCATTTTGTTTTGTTTGATTTTTTTTATTTTTCATTCTGTTGTTACTTAAATCGAATTTATTTTCTCTTTCTCTCACCATTTAACCGATCGATGTGTTATTTGTTTCGTTGAAAAAAAATACCAGGTGAACAACAAACAGGCAGTACGATAACATTACGCCTAGAGCGACACCATCGTGGCATGATTGTCGAATGTATTACTGAGAATCTTCGTATACCAAATTCAGCCATCCGTGATCAATTGACTCTTGATGTTCAATGTAAGTTTCAATTTTCTTTTATTTTTATTTTTATTTTTTTTTTTTGTTTATTAGCTACTGGCTAGTCCGTTGTCAAGACAAACTGTTCATCCATGTTTGTGTTTGAAACCTGAAAATGATTGCGGACAAAGAATTAATATGAGAAAAGATTGACCAAAGATCCATCATGATCATCATTATTATGATGATCATAGTTAGAGCCAGAAAAATATAAAAAAATCTTGAAAAATTACATTCTTGTTCATCTCATATTGCCGTATGAAATAATTGATTTTGAACAACAAAAAAAAAAAATTGAAAATCATGTATGAAAGATGCACCATTTTTTTAGTCATTTTTGTTTATAACTTTGATAAATGATTTTATTTTACATAGAATTCGGACTTTCCGCTTTTTTTCTCCAAGGTAGATGAATTTCCTGAAGTTTTCATAGAAGAAAATAATTAATTTTTTTGTATCAAACGAGAAAAAAACGATACATTTTTATTCAATGTCCATATACCTTAGATTTTTTTCTGATTTTTTTTTTTTTTTTTTTTTTTGGTTCAAACTTGACAGCCTTATTATTGAAAATGTAAGCCATTGTCATGATTCTTACATCTTTTTTATTCATTCATTCATTTTTGATCATTTATTTTCACAATCGGTTCGATTATTGCAGTACAAACATTCAATATATTAGATCGATGAAAGCCTGGTCTTGTGTTTATGTCAGAAAAAAACTAAACATTGCCAATTTTCATTACTTGGAAATTGTTAAAGATTCTTGGATCGAATAGCATAGCACCAATACTAATAATAATATTGATGATGATAAGATGAACAAGTAATTATTATTTTAGTCTCGATATCATACGATATACGACCACCATGAAAAAAAACAAAACCAAAACCAGAAACCAGAAATATTGTGAAACTAAAACGTAACTGATGACATTTTTGTATCTGGACAATTTTTTCTCTTCTTTCGACGTGTGTCTCTATTTATGTTTTCACACACACACACACACATACATAGTGGATCAAAATGATTTTGGTTTGTCTTGTATTTTCTGTTTAAACTTTGTTACTACATGTCGTATTGATCAATTCCATTTTTTTCCATGTCCATGTATTATGTGTGTGATGGTTTTCATCGTTGATTATGATAATAATCCATGGTGGATTCTCTTTCTTTTGTTTTACCACACTGACACATAGCATTTTTATTTGTATTCGATTTTGTTTTAGATTATTACATACATTCGTCAGTCTGGATAGTTGTTAAATCCTTCTATAGCTATAGCTGTAATGATCCTATAGAAACACAAAAAACACCAAGACTTGTTGTTGTCACACATTCTAGACTATTATTCTTTTATTTTGAAATTTTTTTTTTTTGGTTGCCGCTCGAGGACAATCAATGCATTTGGATGTTTGAAAAAATTGCAAAAAAAACAAGAAATAAGATAAGAGAATATAAAGATGAAAAAAGATACTAGAAAGCTTGAAGCTTGTGTTTCCATCGAAATTGCAATGAAATTCACCTGGAAAAAATGATTCACGCTATTTCTTTTTAATTCAATTTCGATTGTTATTATCATTTCGATAAACTAAGATAAATTCAATAGTAGTGATTTCTGTTTAACATTTAAAATTTCTCTATCAAATAGTCTAGATATTAAAGATTTTTTAAATGATGTAAAAAATATACTTGAAAAAAAAGTTTTTCATTACAACATATACATGTATGTATTGTCAGTGTGCTTGAAGTTGAGTGAAAATGAAAACTTTGCTTGTTTTTTATTCGTTATCAAATATTTCATTCAAGTTATACAAGTCCATTAACTTGTACGACTTGATAACTATATCTATATGGATGATAATGATATAGAATAATGTCACGAAAATATATGCTGAGTAATGTATTCCAAGAAGAACTCGAATACAAGATGTATCGTTTGCATGTTTGCAAGTGTACGCTTTATGGATTGTTTTCGTTTTTTTTTTGCTGAAATCTAACGAATACTGTACTTGAGATTTTATATTGTAAATTTGTCATAAAATGATTATTTGATGATTTCATTGATAAGCTGGTGTGTTTGCTGAACAAGTTATTCTGTGTCAATATCATCATCATCGTCACGATCGAAACATTAGAATGCACTAATAATGCATCTATGCTCAATTGATGATCATTTATGACGCCTATGTGGTTCAAATATTCGATAGAATGAATTTATTTATTGACGTTTTTCATTTCAATTCTGATCATTCTGATCTACCATTGCTCAATGATATTCGATCAAATAAAAATCAAAATCGATTCGTAATTTCTGAAAATGTGTTAGCTCGACTGTCTGTCCATTGTTTTATTCTTGTTGCTCCAGCAAATGAATGAATTTCGAATGATTCGCAAAATTTATCATCAAACTGACAAACTTGACCAAAAAGAAAAATGAGAATGAAAATAAACACAATTGACAGGAGAAAAAAGGAAAATTTCAACTTGAAAACAAAACCAGAAAATGCTTTGGCCATATTTTTTTGACAATTTTTTTTTATTTCGTTGTTTGTTTGTTTGCGTCTTACAATTTTTTGGTTCTTTCCATTTGAGCATTCTACTATATATATCGATGTAAGTCAGTCAGTCTGTCTACCAATTCCTTATGATCATCTTGATAATGTTAATGGAGTTGTGTGCTTTATTTTTTCCATTGTAATCATCATTGTTGTTGCTTGTTGGCTGAAATGATGATGATGGTGTGTGTCTGCGTGGATACCAGCAAAAAAGCAAAAGTTAACTGTAATTGGCAACAATGATGATGATCATCATCAATGATCGCTACCATTTAAACCATATTTTACGCTTCAATATTCTATTGTCAGTTTCTTTTTTACTATTTTTTTTTTGTATACAGGATTTTTTTTTTTTTCTCTTTTCTTTCCACAAAAAAATGGCCAGGCAATTTCTCTTTTTTTTGATGATGATCACGATTCAAAGGAATTACTTTCCACTTTTCATAAATAAATATAATAACTTTTTTTTCTTTCTCTCTGCGTGTACATATTTTACAACCAAATTCAGAAATAGAAAAGATGAATGAAATGGAAAAAATTCCCCATTTCCTTACCTCTGATGCGTTCATTTTTTTTCTCACTCAAGTTGATTCTCTTTTTCGGTATCGGTAATCAAGTTCATTTTAGTTTCAAGATTCCAAATGTACCATATTTTCTGTTGTTAGTCCGCTGTTTTAAATATGACGACTTTTGTTTATATAGTGATTGCCAGATTATTCCATTCAAATTGGTTTGTCGCAATTTTTTTTTGCATCAATTGGCCATCTCCTGGCCAAACAAACATAACTTTAGTTTGTTTCTTATTTTTAACAACAAAACAACACTCGTTTATTTTTGATTTTTGAAAAAAAATTCGTTGCTCTGAACAGAACAGAATCGCCAAAACCTAGAGTGGCCGATGATGCTGCTGGCATTACAATATTCCGTTGCTATGGTGAATCATCATCATCATCATTAGTATTAAATTTTAAAATTGGGCGATCATTTGTGAAATAAAAAAATGCAACTACACCGACTAACAACAATGGTGATGATGAGGTAGAGGACTAGAATGCCCATATGATACTAACCAGATGTTATTTTGCATTGTTTATTCGTACAAAAACATTTTAAAAAGACAATTTTCCAACGACAAAAAAATCCATTTGACAATTGCTTATTTGGTCATTTGGACATTTGGACATGCTCGTTGATGAATTTGAACAAAAAAAAAATTTTTTTCTTTTAAAGCCAACGACCTAACTGAAAAGACATTGATCATGTTGATAATGACCGTTATAAACAATGGATGAAAGAATGAGAAAAAAAATTCATAATGTGGAGAAAATTTTTTTTTTTCAAAAAAAAAGTCAAAGACCCGTTTGGCATATTTCTTTATAGTCTAGCTTCTTTGTTCTAGTCTTCCAAGAATCAATTTTATCATTTATCAAACAATTTTCAATGGTCCAAATAGTGTTTGGGACTTTTCTTTTTGTTTCATTGGTTTTTTTTACAGAGTGCGTATGTTTTGATTCTCAATCATTGCGGTCTATTTTCTTTGCTTTTTTTGTTTCAAATATTATTTTCTGACTATCAATTTATTTTGTCCATCATCATCATTTAAAAAATCGTATATCATCATATCATATCATATATATGATTATTATTGATGATGATGATGATTATTTGGAATGAATTTGATGTTGGAAAAATTTTTTGTCATTTTGAATTTTATTCGATTTTTTTTACTGTCCATTTCAATACCTTAACATTGTGAATTGGCTTCATTATCGTTCACTCACTTGATTATGTTTAAATTGTTTGTTTCATTTCTGATTCTGATGACGTATCATCATTATCATCTTTTTCTTTGTTGTTGTTAATGTTTATTTCTTTCATTCATTGCTTGTTCATGTTGTTTATGAGCCGGTGATGAAATAATGTTAACTATCATCATTAACGCAATGACGATGATGATTATGATTGAAAATTTATTGTTATTAGCCACCATTTACAGATGCACAAAAGTATGGAACAAACAAACAAACAAGAAAAAAAACTTGATCCAAAACAAACAAAAGTCAAGAATGAGAATGAAAAAAACAGAAACAATGCGCCAAAATCATCATCATCATCGTTATTATCACTGATTGTCCGGAAAAAATATGAGAAAAAAAGAAAAAGAAAGAAATTCAAGACAAACAAAAAAGATGTATGAAGAAGAAAACAGAGACAATGAATAAATCCTCCATTTGAGCAGCAAAATTTCCAACAAAATGACAGAAGCACCGAAAATGTTGGAATTAATTTAGCGTAAAATTTTTCATTTGTTCATTCATTCATTTTTTGTTGTTTGTTTGTTTATTTCGATTTACAACAACACACAATGAATGATTTCTTTATCTGTCCATTCTGTTTGGCTGCAGAGAATCATCATCAACACCCGACCTGGTTATCATCATCATCTTAATCATGTGATCATGATCGTAATGTTTTTTAAAAAAAAAAAGAAAATTCGAAATACTCTTTCATATGACCTCGGTATTATTTTCATAGTTTTTTTTCTGTTATAAAAGTCGAAAAGTTGCATTCATATCACTACTCTGTCCCCATTATATTGTCATTATGTAGCCCAGAATCAAATTATTTAGCCAAAGAATCTGGTAAATGATATCTTTTCATGTTTGTTATGATTCTTTGGAAATAATAAACATTCTGAATTCAATTATTTTCTTGTTCATCTTCCATATTCATTACATTATAATCACAATGATTTTCATTTGTTTTTCTTTCGTTGAAAAATCATTACAGGCCATATATAGCTACTGAGTTTGTTGTCCATTTTTAAAATATCTTAAACTAATTTGACTGTTTTCTGCTGCTATTTGTTTCATTCGAATTTTTCTAGATCCACCACAGATGGAATTAAAATTGGGAGCACCATCATTATCATTGGATTCCATACAAGAAGGCATCGATATTTATTTTGATTGTCATGTTGATTCAAATCCAGCTCCAACAACACCAATTACATGGCTATTCAATGGCGAAACACTTGTACCAGAACCGGGTAAGTGTGTATTTTATTTTGAATCATCTCAATTTTTTCTATCTCTCTTTCTACTACTACACAATCACAATGTTTCAGACAATGATAACAACACAAGAAATTACATTCTGATGACATGAATTTCTAACAGTTTTTTTTCTCGATATTAGATTGTTGGCATCCAACTTTTTTTTATCAATTTTTTCGCTGCTTTTTCCTGCTCAAAAAAAATATTAGGTTATCGCATAATCGTTATGAACATTTTCTTTCTTCCGATTGTAAATTTCTTGATTCTTACGACGATGACGATATATCTGTGTTTGAACTTTTTTTTATGTTTCAACAAAAAAGTATTTTTTGTCATATTCTTCCGTTTGATAATTAGCGCCATTAGAATCGGTTCAATGAACTAGTTTTTTAGATTTTCCTTCTCTCTGTGTTTGTGTGTTTCTGGTCGTTTAGTTTCATGATTGTCATAATTATCATCTCGTGTGTGCACTCATTTTTTTGTTGTTTGATAATTTCAGTTTAGTTCCTTAATTTTAGTTTTTTTTTAGTTTCTAAATGGGTTGTTCAAAATTTAGTGTCTTTTTGACCAATGAATTTTTTGCCATAACTTACATTTTATTATCTTCATTTTCTTCCTGAATAGAATCAACTTTAAAATGAGAGTTTCAGCCAAAAAACTTATCTTGTGTGTCCATATTCATTCGAATATTCACTTTTACACTTTTAAATTGTCATTAATACACCTACGCATTTCATTTTTGTTTTTGTTTATTTCAAACATGATTTTTAATTTACTTTTGTCTCTATTTGCTGATGATATTTGAATCGTTGGTTTGAGTTTGAATAGTAGTGTAGAGTTGACTACTAAATTTAAACAGGTGAGTCAATTGTCCTTTGACTTGATGTTGATTACATTTTTTCTCGTGTATACAACAAACATCTAATCCGATAATTTTTTTTTGTTGTTTTCACTTGTATTTTTTCTCTTTCTCTAATGTAGACGGCTGGCTACAATAGTTCTCACATGTCTTTTTTTTGTGAAAATAATTTTTTTCCCATGAAATGCGTTTACGTGCTTAATTTATTCATTCACTGTGTTGTGTTGTTGAGAACAAAAACGAAATTCAAATTCATTGTCAGTCAGAGAAAAATCGAATAAAATGGTGTAAGATGAAAACTTTGAAAAGGAAATGAGAACATTCTTCTTTTCTTTTTCATCTGTCCCATTGGTTTGTCCTATATTTTCAAATCTTTTTTTTTCTTTTCTGTTTCATTTCAATCATATCTCCCTATGGAGATCTATTCGTTTTTTTTGCAATGTATCTCTTTCTTTTAAACAACCATCATCATCATCATCATCATCATCACCTTCAAAGTGATGGAGATAGATGGATCACAGAGAAAAAACTTATCACTTTTCTAAAGTGTACACACACACACAGCTCTTTCTCATATAATCATAATAAACATGCCGAATGTGTCGATCAACTATTGCTGAAATTCGACACATTTCAACTTATTGCTGTTATTCACTGTTGTTGTTGTTTTCATTGCTGAGTCGACACATATATGAACTTTACTTGAGATTTTAAAGATGTTGGCGGTGTGGTTTATATATGTTCTATAGATAGAGATATAGGATGAGGATTGAGATGAATGAAATCTGCTTGTATTTTTTTTCTGTTCTAAATAAATTGCTATGCTCTGCCTGTTGGTGTGTATTTGAAGTTAAAGTTGTTGTTATTGTTTGATCATCTCCTGCCGGTTTGTTTATAGATGAAAATGTTGATGGTTGTGTGTGTTGTGTGTGTGTGTGTGTGTAATGCATCTTGTAATAACGAATTTTTATATTCTTTAGTTAAAAATTTTTATCTTCAAATTAAATATTATTGTACCAATATTGGAAAAAATTGCCATCACTTCAAAAAGCCGATAATGCTATTATTTCATCTTCAAATAAGAACATAGAGTCAATATGAAAAAAAAGTAAATATCAAAAGTTTCATTATTTCATTTTTTTTTGTTCTCAATTTCATTTCCAGATATTTAATCTGAAAATCTAGGCCAAAAGAGGCATGATGGTCGTGTCGTGGTAACTTGGAAAGTTGCCATTGATGATGTGCCAGTTGATTGGCTACGATATGAAATCCACTTATGATTATTGCATTAATTTTTCTGACTTGTTTTCATGAGAAAAAAATTCTTTTTTGAATTTAAACTCAAAAATAGACTTTCTCTTCTTATTTGTTCATATCAGAAATCATTTTGTTGTTGTTATTCTTCATCATCTATATATGTTGATTATTTGTTAGTTTTGTTTTAATGGTGACAAAATTGAAATTTTTTTACAATTCATTTCTGTCTGTCAATATTATGGAGAAAAAATCAAAAAAAAAAAATTGACTGAAATCTCAAGGATTAAGGCTTTGCTGCTTCTACTGTTTTTTTGCACATTACCCATGTTCTTATATAACGACTATGATGGTGAAATCGAATCTCCATTTTCTCCAGAAAAAATATTTCTTTCATTCTAATTATTTTGATTCTTTTTCTGTTGTTTGTTGATTATTTACTATTACTTTTACTATTGAGATATAGGAAAAATAAAAATAAATTGTTGAAATATGAGCTTCTTATTTCGATTTCCAAATCATAATCGTTAGTGGTCATCAGTTAGTGGACTATATCGAAATTGAGAGAAAAAAATTCAAGAATTTATAATCATATCAATCATTATACATGAGCATGTGATCATTTATAAACAGAATCCCATAAATGAATGATGATCATCTGATCCACATTTTTATCGGACAACTGATATCGATAGTATCGATTATGTTCTTATCAAATATGATCTCATCATCCTTTAATGTAAATTATTATTATTATTACTACTATTACTATTATTGCTGTTTTAGTTGATTACATGTACATGAATAAATGTTGTGAACCAAACAGACAAAAGGCAAGACAACAACAAAAAATTCATAGTGATTCCATTTGGGCATTTCTATATATTCATGGTCGTTTTCATATAGTCGAAAATTATCTTTCAAAGTGTTTTTCTTGCTATCTAGGGACCATTCATCTTTCAATGGGAATGAAATGAAATTAATGAATGGAAACGAGCCGATAGATTTATTTTCTTTTCTTGGTTTTTCTTCTACGATAATCATCATCATCAATAGTTTTATTTTCTATATTTCTTGAACTGAGAAAAAAAATTTGTGAGAGTTAATCTATTCCATGATGGCTAAAAAGATACAACGAATATGTGTGTGTGGATGATGAGAATAAATTGCGTAAAAAAAGATGAAAAAAAATCGCAGCAATAATGTGAGTGAAACAGAAAAAAGTTCTGAATTAAATCAAGACTTTGAAAACAATTGAATCAAATGTTTTTTTTGCCAATTGTTATTGTGGTGGTTGTGTTTGGTTTGCTCGATCGGTCGGTCTGTCGGTTGGTCTAATTTGGTAATTTTCTTTGCCGAATTTATTTTGTGGATTGAAAATGGAACCGATGAACAAATGAGCGGTTGGTGAGAAGAATATGCCCACACAATGATGATGATGATGATGATGATGATGGTCACAACGATTTACAATCTAAATTTAATCCATTTAACGATTGATTGTGAATAAATGCATTCTATTTTTTTTTTTTTTTTTTGGAAATAATGATAATAAGGAAATGCTTGCTTGTGTTTGTCGTATATACTTAGTGTATGGTCATTCATTAATTCATTGTTTCAACAACAACAACAACAACAAAAAAAAAAAAAGAATCAAAAAGTCCATTTACTCTGCATCCATTATGATTAGTGTGTATAAATGTACAAATGTAACTTGATGTAGTAGCTCGATTACACTGTCTTTCACCGTGATGATGAAGTTGATGATAATAATGATTATGCAATACAATGTAATTTTCTCAATGTTACAAAATCAAACAACTAAAATCCTAACCACTATAACATCAACATTTTGTACCGATGATGATTTTGATTCTCTTCTGTTGTCATTGTCATTTCACATTTTTTTTGTATTTGTGAAAATAAGAACGAAACAACAAAAGTTTGAATTTGACAAAAAAAGTTCTGAATGTAAAAAAATTTTCTGTTCGTAAATTGATTTTCTTTTTTCTCCATTTTCTTTGTGATGAGAATCTGTCTTAGAATCTTACTCGTTTGCTCACGAATGAATTTTTTCCTTTCCTTTCTGTTGCAATCTCGTTTATTATTCCTTCATGACAATTGGTAAATTGGTAATATCATCATCATCATCATCATTTATACTTTTATGAATTAGATTCCTAGTCATCATCATCATCACAAATTCAATCGAATTATATTCACAATTGCAGATAAAGAAAGAGATAGATAGAAATGGTTTTATTCTTGAACAGAGAAAAGAGAGAGAGAGAAAAAATTTGCCTGATGCCCATTCAAATGAATGAATGGATTCTTTGTCGGGCATTTTTTTTCTGAATTAATTCTTTCTCTTTCTTCATTCCATTGAAATGTGAAATATTGAAAATTTGGTTGATTCACATTCAAACAATTTTTTTTCATTGTCTTTTTCATTTGTCGCTCAACAACAAATTCATTCAGCCATCCATTCATTTCTAAATCATTTCTTCATTTCATTCTCTTTTTGTGGCTTTTTTCTTTCGAAATCATTCATTCATTCATTCATTTTTTCCCCTTCTCAAACTAATGATCGGACTAAATTTTTTCTTTTCAACTAGCAAATGAAAATGATAATGTCGTTGATGATCCATAATTGAGATCAAATGATGAAAACCAGAATTTTCTTAGTTTCTCTCTTTCGTTTTGTTTAATGTTGAAAAATAATTACAATCAATTAATATGTTTCGAAGGAAAAAAGAACAATATGAATGGATCGAATTGAATAGGAAACGGAAAGGCGACATTTTTTCACGTTTAATAGTCTGTTGTTCATGAAAAAAAAATTTTCATTGTTAAACTTTGTATTCCGGTTCTATTAGTCTTTTGGCTCTTTTGGTTTGTCGTTGTATAACCACACAAACATCATCATCATCATTGTTATCATCAACATCAACCAAAACCGTTACTTTTTTTGGTGACTAAATCAATCTTTTTTTTCTCATCATCATCGTCAAAAAAATAGCCATTGCCATCATCATCATCATCATCGTCGTCATTGATTGTTACATCATACTAAAAAAGAGCGAAAGAAAATCAATTTGAAATTTTGTTTTTTTCATTGTTGACTGCGGCGACTGTGCTTGGTTGGCAATTGGTGAGACGCGTAAAATGTGAAAATAGGCAACAACAAAAAAATTTCTAGACCCGTTTTTCGTGCTGTCGTTGCTACACAGTTGTTTACTATCTTGTCGCTTGTCGAAAATTATATTTATTGATCGATCCATTTTTTTGTCGTTGTCGTTGTCGTTGCTTTTTGCCTTGTCTCGTCATCATTTTTCTTTTTTTTGTTTGTATCATTTTTTAACGCTGGTGTTTTTTCAGGATCAACAACATGAAATCCTGTGTTTGTGTGTGTATTTTTTGTCGTGAGCTAGTTTTTTCTACGTGTAAACTACACAATATGTGATGAGCCATTTTTTCTTTTGTTTTTTTTTCATACAAGAAATGAAAAAAATCTATAGTTCATGTTTTCGTTCAATATTCTCTTCTGTGATATTCAAGCAAAAAAAAAATCCCTTGTTATAGCTAGCAGCAGCAGTAGAATGGAAAATCGATCGTTTTCATTCATTGAATCGGACAATAGTGGCCAAACAAACATCAATAGCAGCAGACAGGAAATGGACAAGATTTTTTTTTCTTCTGTTTTGGCCATTGTTATTTCAATCCTATTGTTGTTGTTGTTGTTGTTTTTCATTTGCCTCAATCAATGATCAATTTGTGTTTGTAGTTGATGCTGAATGATGGTGGTAAAAACAATGTTTTGTTATGACACATACATCATGAATGATGAAACAATAAGTCAGTTTCTTTTGTCACTAAAGAATATTCATTACCATGCTCCAATACGAATGTGATGAGTTTGAATTTTGATTTTCAACTATATTAATTTATTGAAAATGAATTTTTTTTTTTTTGATGGTGTAGGTTTGTCTGATTAAATTTTTTTTTTTTTTTTCTGTCCTAAAAAACGCCCGAAACCATTTTGTTATAAAATATAATAATAATTAGTTTGTTGTGCGTAATTTGGATTACATTCTTGATACAAAAAAATAATTTAAATTTGAAATTGAAGTACGCAAAAAAAATCCCCAATTGAATTGTCTGAATGCTATTTGTTTGTTTGTTTGTCGAGATAGAAAAATTGATTCAATAATTTTTTTCTTTCTCTCTTCAATTTACCATTAGTTTTATCGCTATCCATATGCTGGGTCGAGATAGTTTTCGAAATGATAAACTCAATTTCCGAGCCGGAAAAAAAACTGGTAGTAGAATTTTGACAGCCGTATAGATATGATAGGTCATGTTCTATTCTCCATTTTCTAAATTTATTCTTTAATTCATATTCACAAAAAATGATGATGAAATGGCGTTGTGAAATATTAAAGTTCCTTATTTCATCAAAGAATTCCTGGACACAGTTTGGTTCACTTTTTCTTGTCTGGTTCATTCATCTTGTTATGATATTTCATTTGAAATGATAAATTACTAAATTCGACATACTGACATTCATTTTTTTTTGTTGGCAGATTACACATAATAAAAATGAACCGAAAAATTTTTTTTGATCATTACAACATCAATGAATTCATTTCTAATGTCGCGTTTACGGGAAACTCACACACATACATACATCCCGTGTGATGGGAAAAAATTTTCCGACCCGGAAGATATCGATGTGTAATGTTTGTGGTGGATGAAATGAAAAAGAAAAGATTAGAAAAAAATAAAATAAAAATAAAATCATGTGCTATGTGTGCGTGTGGAGATTCGAGTTACTGTCGGTGCATTTTTTCTGGCTGTTCTGTTGAACGACAAAGCCATTAACTTTTTTTTAACTCCTAAACTTCTTTCATAAACGGTTTTGATTTCATATGGTGGAAAATTCACTTTGGTTTGTTATTCAAAGCCAGCGAAACGACCAATAAGATGATGATGATGATGATAATAAATAGAAAATTTTAATTTATCATCATTTTTTTTCTCTCTCCATGTCTGGATCATATACCCTACTTTTTTCAGCATCCGAATATCTTTTTTTTTGTTCAATAAAAGTTCCGTTCCAAGCTT